GATTTACCATCAGCATCACAGCCTTGGCGAGCGGACCCCTTGATGTAAGCAAAGCGTTCAGCTGATTGTATTCGTAGGCGTTATCATTAAAACTGAATATCTTTAATCGATCTCTCGGTATGAGAAAGACCTCCTCGGCACTTTTCAAAGCTGCAAAATTGAAATTTAATCGAAATTGTAATTCGATATTTCTTTCTGCCTTATATTTCGACTTGCCTAATGAATTATTGCTTCGTATATTTTGCTTGATCGCTAGATTCATTGCTCCAACTGGCAGTTTAGTAATGAGATTATAGCCCTTCGTTGGATTCGTTTTGTTGAAAAGGACAGAGACATGTTTGCACATTACCGAACCGCACTTCACCGGGCTATCCCGCGTTGTAACGGGACGAATTAGGCCGCTGCTATGCACAGCCTGAAAGGAAGAACGAAATACTAGATAAGTCTTCGTACACTTTCAGGATATTCGCGAAAAATATACCAGGAAGGTAAACAGTTGTAAGTATTACAAGAGAATACGGGGTATTGCATAGTCTCCCATACTCATACATATACATTCGAGTTGGCGAATGGGAAATCCTTAGATTTTCTAATATTTCAAGAGATCTGATCTGATTGATATCATTCAAATGTCTGATCTTAACTACTTTAATAAGATCCATTCATATATTTCGTATCATCTCTACGAATGTGAGAACGTGTTGGTTTAATGAGGCTGCAAATATCGGTGGATGTGTTTGATCTTCTTTTCGATAAAGTCGAGTAGCCTATCTCCGCCGGCAAGCAGTGACTGGAGCCACATTGCACACCCATTGCCGGCATTGCTCTAATCAAGTGCACCTCCTAAGAGCCACTTGAATGTTTTGACACAGTTTCTCTTCTTCTTGCTCATTTTGTTTTAGTTATATTTCGAGAGAGTGGGCAGAGAGCCATTAAAACAATGAAAAGGCTTTGTATCTGGGCTAATTACATGTGTATGTAAGTATTCGAAATTATCAGGCGATAATGGGGTCATGTCAACAGAAGGCCCATCGCAACATTATCTATGCATTTTTGTTTCTTTTACCAAGCCACGCTGCTGCTGTCTCTGCTGCTGCTGCTCTGATGCGTATAGAAAAAAAACTAATTAAATTATAAATTGGAAAGACCCGAAAGCCATATGAATATGGAAATCATTGGCAAACGATATTAATTAAGATTTATTACATTTGGCAGCTATTCAAGAACCTCACAGCTGCACTCGCAGTGTGTGTGTATCTGCTTGTGTGTGGGGGTGTGTGTGTGGCCACCCATAAAGCAGTTTAACGGACTGTATTACAATGCAAGAGTACCTACATACATATAAGCCTACATACCTGCCTATATCTACCTTACATATTCATGTGCAACCGTATGTGCTAAGCACTTGAGCAATTTGCATGCTTTTGGAGAAAATTGGCTTTAGACAATTTAACCTGGCCATAAAGAGAAATCAAATGCATTCAACATTGAATTGTGGCTGCCCTTGCCGCATGCCCATCATTAAAAAGCCAAAATGAATGACTACAGAAATATTTCAATTATCTACAAAACATTGGCAAAGGCCTAGAGTATTGTTATTCCTAACATTGGAGTTTTACTTCAGTTAGTCGAAGTGCCATGAAAGCTTGCCTTATACACAAAGCCATCTAGTGCATATTTTGAAGTTTCGCCTTTACAGATGACATCACTCGGCGGCCCATAAACTTTGTGGAATAACGAGTTGAAATGAAATTTTATCGAGTTGCCAATTCAACAGCAGATAGAACTCAATTTGCAATTGGTATAAATGTACGCAATAAAAATCCAGCCACAGGCCGGAAGAGGCAAAGTTATTATTTGCAGATGTTATAGAAAATGAGAGAGAAATCGAAGAATAAGCTTTTAGAATATTAAATACCCTATAAATAATTATTTTACATTTATATTACATATTTTACATTTTACGTTACATGTCATAACTGATTAGATTATATATGTAGTAGTAAAACTAGTTCACTCACCCGACAAATTCCCTCCACACAGACAGCCTGTCGTCTATAAAAGTGCGTATAGTATACGGCCGGACGATTGCACGGCGTACCATCGGTGACCGATTGATTCATACTGATGAACAAATCAGAGTTTGTCGCGCGGCAGAACAGCATGCACTCGTCATGCTCTTTTTCATATCCGACCCAATTATAGAAAGTCTCACGATAGGGCACGTTATTAAATTTTTCGCATTGTTCGTCACGCAATCGCTGCTTTCCTGGCTTACAGCGCTCCTCCTTGCACTGACGATATCGCTTCAGCACTCCCGAGCAGCCCGTTTGGCCACTGCCGGGGTAGAAACGCCTCTCCACTGCGCTCTCCATGGTTGAGTTCTTAAAACTGCGAATGCATTAGATATATTAGCTTTGAGCATGACAATCATAATCTTTGAACCACTTACCGCTCTAAGCATTTCCGCTGCTTGATTTGCACACAAGTGGTGGAGCATTTACTCCACTTCTCCCAACGATCCCAGGAGTAAAACGTGCCAACTCTGTCGAATGAGCTCTGGTTGCGTTGTCGCGTCTGCTTGCTGACTTCATTCTCATCCACATAATCCGTATAATCATCATCAATATCGTCGCTGAGCTCAGATTTTATCATTATGTTCGTAATATTGTCATTGACCACTTGGGTGGCATCATTCAGATGAATCTCCAAGCATGATAGCAATAAAATACTTAAGACTCTAAAGAATTACAAATTTATTTTGAATACATATTCACTTTGACTTTATTATCTGACAGAATGACTTTTTAATCACGAAATTCGTTTGTCGCAAGGTTAATTGCTGCCAGCGATTAAAATACAAAATGTAACTTGAAGTTTTCAACAGATTTTATTGGAAAGACAAATACTGTGTGGTCATAAATTTAATGAATGAGCTTTATAGGAATTGTATTAGTAATACAATTATTATAAATCATGCACGCATGTGCACACAAATAAATTTTATGAATGAGCTAATTCAAATGCAATATTAATTGAACTCTGCTTATCTGTCGAACGTTCAGTCTAATTCATAAATAAGCCCACTGACCTTATCAACTGCATTCTCTTGTATTTGACTCTCAACTGTGTATACTATAGAACGATCAAGTCAGATGAAGCGCATCAAACGCGTGTGCCATTACAAAAGCCTAAGGCACAACTAAGAACATTTCGAAAACATTTTAAACATTGCGGTCAAAAAGCCAAAATATACACGAGGGTGGTATACAAAATCTATAACATAACAGAATATGTAAAGTTAATTTTATTTTTGCATTGATTAATACAAAATAAAAATGATACAAAAAATATAATTCGTTTTTCATTTCTCTCTTTAGCTAGCAACATTTTAAGATTACTCTCAAATATAAACAGATCTCAGCTGACGTACTAATCTACGCTATATATCTCTTAACCGCACTCGCTCTCTATAACATAGACTATATTAATATACCAACTCAACTATTTGGCGCGTGGTCTTATCTATACATACAAATATTTATATTCTAAACACTTGAATGGCTCAACGAAATAAAAATACGATCAGCTTTCGTCGACTTCAGCGCGCTTTAGCATGGGTTCCTTGATATTGTAATACTTGGCATATTTCTGTAAAGGAATTAATTATATGTAATCATGTATTTAAAGATTGCTTTCACATATTAAACAGTGTTTTTTACCTCGCAGAGTTCAAGATCTAAGCGACATATGGCTTGAAAAGGTTCACTTGCAATGGATTCTTTTGAATTATTCAATTTAATTTGGGGCAATCCATCTGCTCCGTTCTCCATCCATATCAGATTCTCTTTGATCAAAAACGATATGATCAATGAATTTTGAACGGTGTCCATAAAGTTTTGGGGATTACATATCAGTTTAAAATATGGTATTGGTTGGTTATTGCCGGCTCGGTAAATATTTTTAATCTGTTTCATCACATGATTCACAGCTGCCGAGCCTTCGCCCCTGCGTTCGAGCTTGTCGGCTTGCTTCGGACGTTTTTCTACGGCCTAAGATATAAAATGATTAATATAGATTGATAGATTGTATTATAAACTTACATTTATTGTGGTTTTACGTGCTGCTCGCTGCTTGGGAACAAGCTGTTTGGGCTCTACATTAATAAAAGGCAACATCGAGGCATTTGTAAAGCTGGGCACTCCATGTCGGCAAGCAAGGCTGCACAGGGCATTCCAATCCTCTACATTGTCTTTAAAAACAACATTGTTCTTCATACAGTAGGTATACATTTCATGAAGTTCTCATCTCAAATTGTGTTGTGGAGCCCTGCATTCCACATTTGGTATTGGTGCAGGGCTCTAAATTATACTTACAATGGCCGTACAATACATTCGATCTGTGATATTCGTATTATACTGTATTGCCTTTCCAACAACTTCGTGGTTTCGTCTTAAGAGTTCAGAGTCCAGCAAAATCTCTGTTGAGTTTGTTTTGCGCTCCTCATATCCTTTCACTACATCGTTCGCTTTACCTAATATATCAAAAATGGCCGACATGGACTCTCCGAAAGAACGGGACTCAATTTTTTGCTCTATAAAAAAGGGCGCCATTATTAAGGCAATGGTAAACTTGCCGCAAAACTTACCAATCTGTATATTTTTTTCAATTAAATCTTGAAGTTGGATTATACGCCCACTTTCCTCAACTTCTTCATCCTGTTGACTTGTTTGCATATTATCAGTACAATCCATTATTTATTTACATATGGTTTACGAATTTAAGAACAAATTGCTACACTAGATAGCGACGTCTATCGGCATCTAATAATTCGATTATTGAAGTAAGCAGTAATTTATATCGATAACTGTATGTTTTTTATGTTTGAAGGCTTAGAATTGAATTGATTGGGATTGTAAATTATTATAAAAGGATTTATATTTCCAATATGTCGACTTTAGCGGATGTCCCCAAAAGTGAAATATTTAAACTAACTTATGTACTATCAAATGAGTCGCATTTAATTAGTTTAAACACAATTTAATATTACTTTCTAAGTTTATTTCCCTGAGGGGGTGGACGATTGCCTTGTCCTGCATTTCCACCTCGCATACCTCCATTGCCAAGTCCTCCACCGCTAGGCCCACTGCGAACACCAAAGTTGTTTCGATTTCCACTCCGTGGTGCACGTTGGTTTTGATTCTGCGATGAGTTGCCGCCGCGATTTTTGTTCATTTCAGCACGATTCCTTGATTTGGCTTGTGCATCTTCTTTTACCATGTCGATCACTTCGTCTGGAATACGTAGATACTTTATTGTGCTACCACGTATATAGCATTCCGGCATGCGCCAAAATCTGTCGCCATCCTAAAGTGATATAAAATTTATTTAATACACATGGTATACTTAGATAAAGAACATTGTATACATGAGAAGTTATATGCAGTTACTCCTTACCTTTGAAGTACAAATTACATCACGCAGGTTAATATTCATCCAAGAGTCGCAACTAACTAAATGACCATTGTAGGTTTCTCCATTTTTCAGCTCCACCAGCTGTTAAAATTAATTTTTAAGCGAGTATAAACAAATCCAATTAGTACAGACCGAGCTAAATGCCGGTATACAACTTACCATAGGATGACTTTGAGCTGTTTTTAAAAGTGATAGCGGCAGCTTTAATTAAAAACATTCATTATAATTATGATATGTTATTAGCAATGGAGAAATATAATATTGCTTACCATTTTTACTTTATATTTTTACAAACAAAAAGTAATGAGTACTTTAGTGATGACACTTTCAGGTTGCGAATATGAATCGTTCATGTTAAAGGGAATCAATATTGGTATGCTTCTTTTGAGCTAGATCACGAATCAATGCAACTCTGAAATGGCAACATAAATATTTCTTTATTGACAAAATTTGTTAATGTAACAAGTATACAATAATATCAGCTATAAAAAATATATAAACATGGCATCGAAAAGAAAACAAAATTTTGATTTATCTGATAGTGATATATTTAAAAAGAAACACACTTTAGACTCAGATGAAGAGGATTCCGACGACTACGAACGGTTTGCAAAGATTTACTAAATATAAAAGCAACAAGAAATATTTATTTTAATATTATTCTTAATATAGAGACAATCTCAATGATAGCGATATTGAAGGTGGTGAGGAGGGTGTAGGTAAAGTAGAAGATGATGTCAAAATAACACCATTTAACATGCGTGAGGAACTGGAGGAGGGACATTTTGATAAGGAAGGCCACTATCACTGGAACAAAGAAGCTCAAATTAAGGATAACTGGTTGGATAACATCGACTGGGTTAAGGTATTGAGATCTCTATATAAATCATAATCAGTTACTAATAAATTACTTAATAATTTATATAATAGGTAGAGAAAGATAAAAACTACTTTGATCCAACCAACGAAGATAACTCAGCTGATGGCAGCTTACCTCCTAAACCATTTAACCAATCAATGGCGCTTACCAAAATGCTTGAGTTTATGAAGCCAGGGGAAACTGTGCAAATGGCTTTGCAGAGATTGGGTCGTAAGCGACCTAAATTATCCACCCTCGAGAAGCTGCGGCAAAAAAAAGCGGGAATTGTGAACACTGAAACGCAGCAAATTGCAAAGCTAACCGAATTGGCAAACGAAATATTGTCAAATACAGGAAACATGGATATATATCAGGAGACATATGAAAGGATAAAGCAAAAACTAGAGGATTTGCCAAGTACAAGCAAGCCCGTGGGCGATTCTTTTGATATGTATGCCGATGATTTCGAAGAAAAGGAGTCCAAACTCTTAAAGGGCTCACAAAAAGAGGCAAAGGAACCAAGTACAAATGAACTAAAATGGGAGTTTAAATGGAAGCAGACCGATGAAGAAATTCAGGGCCCATACAGTACAGAGAAAATGTTTAATTGGTCTCAAGGAGACTATTTTAAGACTGGAGTATATGTACGCAAAGTTGGGGAGAATTCAAATTTTTACTCGAGTAATAGGATAGATTTCGATTTGTATTTGTAAACAAAAATCATTTGTTAATGCTTAACGCTAAGTAACTTCTTTGTTCTTCTATTCGAAATAAAGAAACATTTTAGGTTAATCGAGATCTTGAAGCTTAAAACATTATTATAGAGATAATATTTTCTTGCTTTAATATACACAATTTATATATTGAAGATTTTAAAGTACATGATTCCTGTAAAATAATGGAAATTTCAATATATTGCGGCTTGATTGATAGATGGTGGTGAATATAAATATAAATAACAAAATTTACTTCAATGGTGAAGTGCACAAAAAGTTACTTTTCTATCCCTACAATTTTTTTTTTTTTTTTTTTTTTGTTAACATTATGTTGAAAAACTTTGAGTTTTAAGAAAAGCCGGTGAATAGATTGTGGTGGCATATCGATAACACTTTATCTGATAGTTCGGTTTTCAACATCTCTGTTACTAATAGCAACACATTGTTGTTTACAAATTTATTGACATAAGAAAATTAGAATACTTTTGTAGTTGTGTTCGTAATCCTCACAAATTCCGGCTTAGCAAAATTTATCGGCCAGCACCCACTGGTCACATAAAAAATTGCAAAAGCTCGAGTTACCATTCACGACGGTCCATCAATTGCGCGAAATGTTCAAAAACACGTTTCAATCCGGATTTCTGTCAATACTTTACAGCATTGGTTCCAAGCCACTCCAGCTATGGGACAAGAAAGTTCGAAATGGCCACATCAAACGAATAACTGACAATGATATTCAAAGCCTAGTTCTTGAAATAGTTGGAACTAACGTTAGCACAACATTTATCACTTGCCCAGCTGACCCAAAGAAGACGCTGGGCATTAAGTTGCCTTTCCTGGTGATGATAATCAAGAACATGAAGAAATACTTCACCTTCGAAGTCCAGGTAAGTCATATATGCATACGTATACGTAAGGAAGGCTCATTGCAATTGCATATCTGAACAGGTTCTAGACGATAAAAATGTGCGACGTCGCTTTCGCGCCAGCAATTATCAATCGACCACACGGGTGAAGCCGTTTATATGTACAATGCCAATGCGTTTGGATGAGGGTTGGAATCAAATACAATTTAATTTGTCCGACTTTACACGTCGCGCCTATGGCACCAACTATGTTGAAACACTACGGGTTCAGATCCATGCAAATTGTCGAATACGTCGAGTATATTTTTCGGATCGACTATACTCGGAAGATGAGCTTCCTCCAGAATTCAAATTGTTTTTGCCTATACAAAAACCAGTTCAAAAGTCGAACGCCATATGCAGTTAACCAGCTTCGATGTAGATTGAATTCCAAAATATATGCACATATATATACATATGTCGCCAGCTATAATGACAAACCAAAACAAATTTATAATCACTTGGCAACAACAAATTTTCTTGCAAGCCGGCATACGCGTTTATTAAAACACTTATCTATGTCAATTATGCGCTTACTACAAAAATTTGAAATAAAAATTCACTATTTATGTTAACATTTTGCATTCTAGCTCTCTTTTGTTAGTATCTCAGCGCCCGTATCTGTGACCAGAATCGTATGCTCGAATTGTGCGCTCCGTGAATTGTCCAAGGTGATTGCCGTCCATCCGTCTTCCAAAATCCCGATTTCGCCACCGCCTAGAGACAGTATTGGTTCAATGGTAAAAGTCATGCCTGCTTGCATTTTACCCGGTACCTCATTGTCTAAAATTGAAATAGAAAAGAATGAATTACTATAACAGATATGTAACCAATTGATACAGAAATTATCCATCTAGAACAATCTACATATTTCAACATAACAACTTTGTCCCTTTAAGAGTCCTTTATACTCTAAGAATCATAAAACCAGTGTGATAGACAGAGATAGTAGCCGTTACTTAGTTTGAGTCCCTCTCACTTGCTCTCCCAAACGTACATATTAATGTACGAGGTACGAATGTATATATGCATGTGTACAATTAAGCACCTTGCTCTCTCTCCCTATCAACAAGAAACAGAAGTGAGAGTCGTGAAGCGAATGTGATAGACAGAGATAGTCGCCACTACTTAGCTTTATTGGTTGTGCCACTCTTAAACGTATATTTATTTGTATGAGGAGCATATCTTTGTATGTATGGACATATCTTCTGTATTGAGTGCAAAGTATTGCACAATAGTTGAAGGAATTGCAACGGTACAATTGTAATTTCTAATTAAGTAAAGTATTGTCACTGTATGGGATTATAAATAAAGCTCTTACCATAGTGATAAATTTCGGGTGGTCCATGAAAGTAACTGCCGATGCCATGGCCAATAAATGCGGATACCGATTCCAGCTGATGTTCTTCGCAATATCTCTGTATGCATTTGCCGATTTCTTTGAAGGGCACCCCCGGACCGCAAAGTTCGATGCACTTGTTTAGGCACTCACGCGTACAGTTCACCAAGAACCTGCCACGTTCATCGACATCGCCAATGAGAAACGTCTCGGAACAATCGCCATGGTATCCATTCTGGTATACAGTGACATCGATATTAATGATGTCGCCGTCAAACAGGGGTCGGTCATCCGGTATGCCATGGCAGGCCACATTGTTAACGGAAGTGCATAAGGACTTTGGAAAGCCGGCGTATCGCAGAGGGGACGGGTAGGCATTTAAAGAGAGTATTCGTTCGTGCGCATAACTATCTATTTCATCCGTAGTCACGCCAACTTTTGCCATTTTGCCACATTCCTGAAGAATTTGCGCGGCCAATTTACCGCTTGCTCTCATGTGATTGATCTGCTCATCATTTTTTATTTCAGGACTTCCATTTGTGTTGCCTGGCGGCTGTGGTGTATAGTAATAGGGAGGCTTCTGAATGTGTTTGGGAACGCTACGCTCATTGGAAACTCTTCCAGCCGTCGTTATAATTTCCCACTTGCCCTTATCTCTGTAATACAGAGAGATGCGTTTGTAGAATTGGCATATTTTCCATTTTTTATCAGTTAATTAATTTCATTATATAAGAATAATACAATGGCTGGATGAGCAGCTAGATCCTCGGTGGTTCCATCAAAAATCTGTTTATCTGCGTTTTTAGACATTGTCCCTTGTAGGATATAATACAATATTAATTAGTTGAACATATTTTTAAGTGAACCATTGAAATTTGTAACTCAATAATTGGTTCAAATCTGTCGACCGTTTATTAATAATCTTTTACTGTAAGCATAAGAAAAAAATGTACTATTACAAACATTATATATTAAATAGATCATACCGTTTGCTAAGTTGGAAGAAATTTCTCCGTACATGTTGACTATAAATATGCCAGCTACTTTTTGATGCTTGAAGCAGCATTTCTTTAATTATTATTATTTAATTAACAACAATTAAAATAAACAATAGTTCGAACAGCTGGGCACGCACGGCGATTTGCAGAAATTTAGCCGATAGTACTATCGAATTAGGTATTCTTATCGATAGTAGTCAAGAAATTTGTAAACAAATTAGCCAATTTATGCTATTAGAAATAAATTGATATATCATGAGTTGTAACTATGCTGAAGGTCTTTCAGCTTACGAAAATAAAGGAATCCTCGGTGTACCGGAAGTAAGCAATACATTTAAATTAAATGGTACATAGAAAAATGGTTGACTATATTTGATTTTAGAACTTCGACACTGAAGAAGTTGTGAACCAAAAATGCAAACAGTTGGCTAACTTAATTAAGGATTCGAAACATGTGGTGTTTCATACAGGTGCAGGTCTCAGCACTTCAGCTGGTATTCCCGATTTTAGGTAATATATTATGAATTTTAATGAATTATTAAGATAGCTGAAAAAATAATAGGGGACCTAAAGGAGTCTGGACACTGGAAGAAAAAGGAGAGAAGCCTACTTTCAATATATCTTTCGACGAGGCTAAGCCAACAAAATCTCACATGGCGTTAAAAGCGTTAATTCAGCATGGATATGTACAATATATTGTGTCACAAAATATCGATGGCTTACATTTGAAGTCTGGACTAGATCGCAAGTACCTGGCGGAGCTGCACGGAAATATTTTCATTGAGCAATGTCAAAAATGTCGACGACAGTTTATAAGCCAGACGACGGTAGCAACTGTGGGGCAAAAGCTATTGGGACGTCCGTGCAGATCTGCTGAAGTAGGTCAAAGTCGTAGCTGTAGAGGAGGTATTATGCAGGATAACGTCTTGGATTGGGAACATGATCTACCAGAACGGGACTTAGATATGGCATTCATGCATTCCACGTACGTTTATTTTAAATTGGCATCGCAGAGTACGACATTTAAAATCCATATATTCTTTAATTAGTCTAGCTGATGTTAACATTACCCTTGGCACAACTCTGCAGATTGTCCCAAGTGGAAACTTACCTCTTAAAAATCTAAAACATGGTGGAAAGCTTGTCATTTGCAACCTGCAGCCCACAAAGCATGTAAGTCAACTTATACAAGTTATATTTCATCTACTGACTTTTTTATTACAGGACAAGAAAGCATTTTTAAACATTTCAAGTTATATTGACATTATATTAGAAAAAGTTTGCAAACGTTTGGGCGTCGAGATTCCAGAGTACTCCGAGGATTGTGATCCAACAAAGAATGACAACATTTCGGAATGGACGCTGCCGCAAGAGTATGTTAAAGAGTTGGATAAACAATTCAAAGAGTATCAGAAAACATTTGCAAAAAGTAATAAGAACACACTGATAAATAAGAAACTTATCAAAAAGCGCAAACGGAGCGAATAAATAGCATTTAAATATGTAGTTACTAAGCTATGTCCTATTATAACATAAGTATAGTATAAATCAAATACATAATTAACCATACTGCCTATAACTTAAATTACTCATATCTAAAACTGTTTTAAAACAGGACGATTCTGCAAGGATTGCAGCTCGCTAAGCATCGTAGCAACATTAAATCGCAAACGTTGAAACATTGACAAAGGCAGCTCTAAAGTACGATGTTCGCCATTATTCAATTTAAAATGCAATACAATTGTGGGCTTATCCAGCTGGGCCATTCTACAATTAAAGAAAACATTAACTTTCATACATATATTTATTAGAAACATATTGAGTTGAATTTTCATTCCAAATTATGTGCGCTTTCTCTGCGATTATTTGCTAATCGATATTCAATCGATTAGTTTATTCACATAACGGCAACAAGTTCTCAATTAAACAAATGCAGGCATAGAATGCATAATAAACCTGACATATTGCGACGACTTTACTTACGTTGAGCCCAAGGAAATATTTATCCGCCATTGCATGTCCAACATTTTTGGTCTTTCCATTTTGGTTTCAGCAAAATTTCTACTAAGCGTCGTACGGTGGTTAATCAGCACCTTGGTCAAATCGTCAGCGCAAGCATCTGTGAAGCTAAAAGCGCATAAGCTGAATTATAGTTTCTATAATGCTTAGCTTACCACAAATCGTCAATTAAGCACTGCCGCAGTTCTTGCTCCTTGACCACACCTTTTGGACAGCGTAAATAGATTTGCATTATCAACAGCACCATAGTAAACAGTTCACAAAAGTTCTTAGGCACTTCGTGGCCTGCATTTTTAAGTTTATTTATTGCAAGTTCCAAAACGTCAGGTGATGATTTTTTTGTTTCGATATAGTGTACCGAAACTTGTATTAAGACGCGTAATGTTGATTTACTTAATTGTGGAATGTATATGGTGTATGGCTTGACGCTTTTCAAAACATGATACCGAAAGTTTAGGGACATTTTGTTAGTTTCAATTTTATAAATACAGATGTAGCCTCTTTTGTCGCTCCAATTGCACTAGCCCAATATAGCGATGCGCGACACGAAAGCTCGTGAACAAAATCATCGTATGCTTTGGTGATGAACGATAATTGCTAATAAGAATACACGAGTTATATATGTATATACCTTAATTATGTGAAAACCAACAAATGAATTTAAGCTTTATAGATTTTTAATAATTAAAATTTTTTAATTTCTTGATTTACATCACTATTTGATATTTGGATGAGGGCAAATATTAAAACCTTTACAACTACTTTATATCGCTATGCGGGTAGTTCAAAAAATTGTTCAAATCGGTGAGCAGTAAATTCAAAACAAAATTATTTTCATACCGAGCCGTTAGCGTAAGTGATTAGATACAAGATAATTATTGTTAGATAACGGCAACACAATTTCGACAATGCAGTATAAACGATGTTAGCATAGTACCGAAATTGACCAGAAACGCTGATAGGACTGGTGGATTTATTATTTTTAAATTAAATTATAATTAGTAAACATTTTGATTTTGGTTGTAGGAATATAGACGAGCTACAAGATAAGATACAATAAGAGCTTACATACATGCATATGTACACAGGTGTACATACATTAATAAGCAAAATTACGGTTGTTGAATGATTTTTGATTGCAGATGGAAATCATAATGATAAGATTTTGTACATTATTTGTATACTTTAATAATTTGCATTGAGTTGGTATATGCATAAATTAATTGTGTCACACATTTGAATTTCTTATGTTCTCTCGTTTTAAATTAATGCAACACAAACAAAATGCTCCCGTTCGATATACAATATCATTTTAAAGTTATTTTTTCTTGTTTTTTGTTTTTGTTATGCGATAAAGAACTATTATTAACGCGGCCCGCTTCTTCGAAACTGTTCTTCCTTTCCTCTCTACCTCCTCCTCATCCATTCATCTGAGGCGACGGCACCGACACACACACGCACGCATGGAATTATTAGATGATGCTGACGCTGCTTATGCTGGCAGTTGCAGCTTCTTGCCTTTGAGCACTTTGGTAATATACAGATAGAAGAAATCGCAGTAGAGAATAGTTTGGACGACGCCCGCAAAGATCGCAATCAGATCATAATGCGACTCCACCATGTAACGATAGACCCAATTAAGCAGATATAGAGCACGGTACGAGCCGAGGGCAAACAGATAATGGCTGGTAATCGATTCAGCTTCTCCAGTCTTGCTCACCAGGAACAGCTGCGGCAATATAGCGACCGATTCCAAATAGATCGAGAATGTCCAGAGCACCTCCATCACGGTAAAATCATGATTTATTACCAATGAGAGTAGAGCGCATGGTATAAGCAAAAATTCAATGCGGAACGAATCGTGATTGTGATCGTAGGTGGCTTTAAATTTCACATACATCAAGTAAACCGTGGCGCCTGATGTGGCCAGGAAGAGCACCTTCATCACCGAATTGTAGAGGCTGACGTATGTGGTGAAGAGGTCCAGATAGCGTGTCAGATAGACGACGGCGAATAGTATTTGCGATTTTCCAGAAATGCCGGCACATGATCTTGTTTTCCATATTTTAAGCAAAAGAATTATAATAGCAAATACATGCGACAAGTCTCCAGCAAATCGAAAAATATTCATTCTGAGTGATTCGTATGTTCTTTTTTTCGATTTTAGTGTGAAATGTTTTTTCTCCTCGTGGTTGCTTGATTGTATCCGTTGTCCTCCTAAATTGAGAAAAATGATATTAAATTACGTTATAATGCAATTGCAAATATAATAAATTACTTTACCAAACTGAATTATTTGTTTAATTTTCACTTGTTTTGCCAACGAGCTAAAACTTTTTGGTGTTGTGCCGCCTATATGTACGTAGAATGTCGGCACAAAAGAGAGAAACAAAGAGAGCCAAAGTGACGTGGCCACATACATATATGAGCGACTGAGACGTTTGAACACAACAAATTTGTTCTCAGAAGAACACAAATACAGGGCTGCAGCAAATAGTCGAGTAAGGCTGATTTGATAAAAATGTATACATTTCGCACTAAAACGATAACAATCGATGCGTCGATAAGCTGCTTGTTTGCGATTTGGACGCATTAGTTGTTTAACAATTTATTTTCACATTATCCTGCAGTTAGTTAAAGAAAGCTAATAAATTTAATATTTTGTCAATTATCATATAGAGTAACGGCCCTAAAATGGTAAGATCCGAAATAAAAGCGAAGAATTTTACTGCTTATTTATATTTTATATATATACATATACGTTTATGCCGACTTTGCCGGCCATGCTGTTTTTTTTTTTTTTTTTTTAATGGAATTGTTTCTATTATGTTTTTTTTTTTTTAGACTATTGGCAAGAATAATAAAATGATCCAGCACCTGAACTATCGGGTGCGGATTGTTCTGCAGGATTCAAGAACTTTTATTGGAACATTTAAGGCATTCGATAAACATATGAATCTTATATTGGGCGATTGCGAAGAGTTCCGTAAAATCCGCTCAAAAAATTCCAAAGTGCCGGAGCGTGAGGAGAAACGTGTACTTGGATTTGTACTGCTGCGTGGCGAAAATATAGTTTCCCTTACAGTCGAGGGACCCCCACCACCTGAGGAAGGTCTTCCTCGTGTGCCCATTCCAGGCGCTGCTCCAGGTCCAGGCATTGGTCGTGTCGCTGGTCGTGGTGTACCTATGAACATTTCTTCCGTGCCGGCTGGCCTGCAAGGCCCCGTTAGGGGTGTCGGCGGTCCTGCCCAACAGCATATGGCCCCCATGGGCCGTGGAGTACCTCGAGCTCCTATGATGGGTGCTCCACCACCGGGCATGATACCTGGGGGTATTCCTGCTATGCCGGGCAGCCTTGGGCGGGGTGCACCACCACCCATGCGAGGACCACCACCAATGATGCGCGGCGCACCACCACCGGGACGAGGTGGATATTAATTAAACAACCCATTCGCTTATCTTCATAGTAAATAAAATAAAATTCAACTTCAGTCATTAATTGGCTTCAGAGTTCTAGGTGGGTGGGTGGGTCAAGGAGGAGATCTGTGAATAAATCATCCTATGTCTGAGCTAAATTAATCGAGAGTTATCTTTATCTGCTATGCAGTATTTCGAGAGAGAAGCTGTATATTATATGCCTAAGATATTACACATTCGAATATTACAGACATTGATTTGATTTCATTTATTGATATTCATGGAAATTTAGTTTTACATCATTTCGAACTTGATGAAAAAGAGCTTACATGTTGTAAATATATAGTTAATATGTATATATGTGAAACATTGCTTATACTTAAAGTGTTTTCCATCATCTTCAATACTTACAGATGTATTTGGTATTTTCGTTATTCTTTTGTTTTTTATTTAGTTTCATACAATACAATATTATAATTTTCTTTAGAAATTGAAGTCATGCTATCCTTGTAGATAGTATATAATATAGCAAATAAATATTATGCCCAAATGGTAGACAAATCCCACACCTTGATCAACCGATCCTGGCCAACTGTGAGTAGACGCTTCCGATCCTCATCCAGATCCATGTGCACAATAGAATGCTTGGCGTCGTGAAAGGCTGCCAGAGAGGGTCGCTCCACTGTCTGCAGCTGCTTGAAGCAGGGATCACAGCAGCGCACATCGAATTCAAAGCCCATTATTGGAATATTAATACGGTTCGATGAACAGTTATCGCAAACAGCTTTGCCACAGTGACGACAATGGTGCTGTCGTATGCCTAAAATTACATTCCAATTATATTGCAATTTAGTGATTAATCATTCTATGCGCAAGCTGTGTCACTTGCCCAATTGTTTCTGATCCATCATAGAGCGGAAATTCCAAAAGAATGGCCTCGAGCACAGCTGGCAATTATTGGACTCCACCCAGCCCGGCACCTCCTTGCGCATCGCATTCATTTCCCAAAACACGACCACCGAGTCCTCGCCACACGATATCAATTGCTGAGTGTGATTCGCGTACGCTAGTGCCGACACTTTGTTGCTGAACGGAAAAGAATATGCAATTAGGTCAAGGGTTTCTTATGTGTATGAATAGCTGTTAATAAGCCTACATTAACATATTTATAGTTTAGTATTACCTATGGCCCTGCAGTTCGTAGATTGTGCCGCGCTTGCCGCCAACGTCCCAAACAATAACAGATTGATCGCAGGCGCCACTAAACAAAAGCTGTGGTCCTTCAACCCATCGTAAGCAGCGAATACCAGCTGTAAAAGGATATTTGATTGTCTGTTAAATAATACATGTATAGCTGATGAATAAGGTATATATGTATATACACAAGATTTTCAGAGTTCCTAAGAACTATATATATATGTATATATATATATATATATAGGAGGAAGTCTGGAAATCTGGTCAAAACTAACCTAGAAGATTAAAGGATATCAACATTTAAAAGAAAATAAATAAGGAAGAAAACAATTTTAAATAAAGAGCTTGACAACTTTTTAAGCTACCCTCGTATATATGATTGTACATATATGATGATACATATAAGACTTCATTTACCAGTATGTCCTTTGAATGTGGTGATAAGCTGCACGCCCTGTGCCTCGCAGCGCAGCATTGTGATCTGACCCGCATGATCTCCAACGAAGGCGTACTTGGCCAACGCATCGAACCTAGATTAAAATGAAAGCGTGATAAAACGCTCTCGCACATTCAGCAGAGATTACAGTTTAACTCACTGGAGTGCTGTGCAGGGCGTCTCGAACGTGTATCCGCCCACCCGTTTCGCTGTTTCCGTGCAATGGTATGCGAACTGTTTATCTTTGCCAGCGGAGAGTATCCAGTTGTGGGTTTTCGAGAATACGACGGCTACGACGCGACCCTGATGCGACAAGTAGTCGCGCATGAATGATAAGCGATTGCAGTCCTCGGACAGTGTGTATTGGGTGACGGTGCCGTTGTCCTGACCAATGTAAAGTTGGCGTTGCTCCGGCACGTATTCGATGGCCGTGCAGCCCGATGGCATATATTGGCAAATGCTGGGCCAGTACTGTCCAGAGTCACGCTTAAGCCACACACGAACAGTTCTATTCAAATATAAATTTAAGGGAAATTATATTCTAAGGCATTAAGGAATTTTCGTATAGGGAAATTTGGTTTGTTTATTTACGCACTTGTCGTCAGATACGCTAATGACCCCATTTTCGCCCGGTATTAAAATAGCTGCATTTACATCGTCACCGCTGCCCTCTAATTTGCTAAGCAACTCCGGCTTTTTTGTCGACAAAAAGCGATCGTTGTTGCTGCGTTGCGCTGGTTTTATCTCGGCTGCCATTCTTCTACTGAGAGAGCGAGAGTTAGGATCTATAACAAATGCAGCTAGTGCGTGTGTGTGTGTGTGTATGTCCGTGTGAATTGGTTAAATTAACACCGAAAAGCCTTCAATATTATCTGCTATTATAATTTGCTTAAACGAATAAATGAATGAATCACAAATAAACTGATTTTATCCAAAAATTACGATCAGTGTGACCCTCACCAGCAAAATTGTTATTCTATAATTAATTAAAGTGGGTACACTTTTCCAATAAGAGCGAAAAAACTATCGATTATTTGTCTATTTAAAAACATATTTTTAGGCGTGTACATAAGACACATCAATAAAAACAAATATTGTTATGTTACAAACAAATATAAAAAGCACGCTTTAAATGAAATATGTCTGATTCCGCTTAAAGCTATCGATTATTTCGTCATTCGATTACTTAGTCGATGAAATGTCATTCAACGACTTTCAAATTATTTTTACCGTGAGTCGGGATCCTCTACTCCTTGCTCCAGTTGGGCCACCTTATAAGAATTCCACGTTGGAAATTAAAGTAATCTGAATTAAAAATCAAAACTGATGAGTCAACTAACATGACGGCTCCTCGGAGGTACTGCCGTTTATGAATAAATAAAACAGTAGGTCACTTTACCTATCCAAAAGCCTCACCCAATTTACGTTTCACAATTGGTAAATCGATAATCGTTTGCTTTAACGAAAAAACGAAAAAAAAAAAAAATACATTATAATCAAAAATGCCAATTGGGAGTATTATCAAAAAAGCATCCAACTTTATACTAGGCGAAGAGAGGTGTGATGAAAAAATCGATATTGCTTACGAAGACAACGAAATACTTTTCTGCAAAAACAATGTCTGCATTCATCCACCGACCGTGGCCCGCCAGGAATCGGATATACTCCACTACCCTGGCTACTTGACCTGCACTACCAAAACATTTATCGACCAGTACAACAGTGCCAAGAGGCCGACGCTGCTGCTCACCTGGATCCCAAACACCTCGCTCTGCAAGTGCAACTCGACCACCAACGAGGGGGAGTCTCTGAGCAATCTGCATCATGAAACGTTACCTACCAACGGACACTTCTCGCCCACTGCACAAGTGGCGGTGCCCGCGCCAAAGATCGCAGATGAACAGGCCGAGCAGGAGATAGGCGAGGAGAATGCGGCTGAGATGCAGGAGTTGAAGAATGAGCTGCAGCCGCTGCTCGGAGGACAAACGGCGTCTATTGGGGATCTGGCTGCCTTGCTAAAAAAGAATCCAATTACATCCGTAAACATAACCATTTCGAATCCACAAATTGAGAACAGCAACATCTCCCAGTCCTACAATTGCATCATTCCCACTTCCTCGCCGGATAACGAGGGCGGTCATCCGTCTGCAATCGGTCGGGCGAATCAGCCGGCACAACAAATAAATTCAGATGGCTCGGTGTCGGATGACAACAATCCTAATTGGATGACGCCCGAACTACTGGCTTTCAAACATAATCTGGTATTCCCGGAGAGTGCTAACGCCACGCCCACTGTCCGTCGTAAAGCAGTGATTAGGGGTCGCAGATTTTCCGTAGATCTCAGCCAGATGCGTTCATTGCGTTTGTTTTTCAACGATGACAAATGCACATCTGGCCAGCTGGTGATAGCTTCAAGAGAATCACAGTATAAGATTCTCCATTTCCATTATGGTGGCTTGGATCACCTGGCTCAGGTGTTGCATCAATGGCACTGCTTTCTACACAACATTACCTTGGCTCCGGGGCAGGAGAAGATGAATTTGCCCTATCGACACTTCATGGTCTGTCGTCCGGAAGTGAAGCAATCTGAGATGCACCCGGATGAGGGCAATGTGAAGAGAATCACCACGAACTTCTTCTATGGCACATTACTAAACGAAAAGGGACAGATCGACGATGATTTGCTGCTCCGCAAGTGCGTCTTCTTCGGTGGCCTCGAGAAGAGTCTGCGCAAAACCGTATGGCCCTTCATCTTGAAATGCTATTCGTTCTCATCCACCTTTGAGGATCGGGCCGTCTTGATGGACATCAAAAGGCAGGAGTACGACGAAATAACGCGGAAGCGTTTATACTCCATGTCACCGGAGCAGCAAGCTCAATTCTGGAGAACCGTGCAGTGCGTCGTCGAAAAGGATGTTGTGCGTACGGATCGAACGAATCCGTTTTTCTGCGGCGACGATAATCCCAATACAGAGATGATGAAAAACATTTTGCTCAACTTTGCCGTCTACAACCCGAGCATCTCCTACTCGCAGGTGAGTGGGACCCAATTTAATCAACCAACTATCGCTATATCGCTACCCATATCAATCTTTATGTTGTTTGCAGGGCATGAGTGATCTCTTGGCTCCTGTTTTGTGTGAGGTGCAGAATGAATCGGAAACTTTCTGGTGCTTCGTCGGCTTGATGCAGCGTGCTTTCTTTGTGTGCACGCCCACGGACAACGACGTAGATCACAATTTAAGCTATTTACGCGAATTGATCCGGCTCATGCTGCCGCGTTTCTATGAGCACCTGCAACGGCACAACGAAGCAATGGAGCTGCTGTTCTGCCATCGCTGGCTGCTGCTCTGCTTCAAGCGGGAATTCACGGAAGCCGTCGTCATACGCATGTGGGAGGCTTGCTGGTCAAACTATCTCACAGACTATTTCCATCTATTCCTATGCCTGGCCATCATCGCTGTCTATGCTGATGATGTGATTGCACAGAACTTGCGCGCAGATGAGATGCTGCTGCACTTTAGCTCCTTGGCCATGTACATGGATGGCCAATTGATTTTGCGCAAAGCACGCGGACTGCTCTACCAGTACAGGCAGCTACCAAAGATTCCGTGCACGCTGAGTGGCTTGTGCAAGCGCTGCGGCCCGGGCATGTGGGACTCGGAGCATCGGCCGGCATTGGAATGCGTTGGTCATACGGATAACGAGAAGTGCTCCTTGGGCATTGACTAATGGATGGATGTGGCTTCTACTATTGTATATCGAGTTACCCTACTTATTTACACAATATATTACCATTATGTGTTATGATTGAAAGCTTTCAAGCAAGTGCTTCAAAATATACCAAATTAAATTACGCCTATGCTAAATAAATGTTTCACTTTGTCAATGATAAATTCGAATAGTTAAGTTAACAATTGATTAATGGGTCTCAGCATTTATTAAACACTGCATTCCTAGACATGGTTACAGAATCTGATTGCAAGCTTCAGGGCAACACATTTCAATAGACTAAAAATAAATCTACACGCCGAATAATAATCTCGCAATGTCACAGAATGAATTTAAATTGTAGGTATAACAATCGTCAGAATGAGTTTTAGCATTTATTTTACATTCTTAATTAGAATCGTAGAGCCAGCTTCAGTGCTGCATAATTCAACAAAGTACTAGAACTTCAGTTCATTCGCATTTCTGCATTTATATATGAATAAAATCGTACTTGTTTGCTGTGTGATCAAAGTATGGTCATTACTGAAATTAAATCTAGAGTTGTCCTACAAAACGCATTTCGCATGCATATCCATGTTGTTGACGTATACGTGATAATTGAGCATCGATAAAATATAAATATATATATATATATTGATTCTTTCTGCTGCCAGGTATTTTACATTTGCGGTAGCTGATCAATCGGAGTCGTGAACTTGAAGTCCTCCGGGAACAGTTTTGCAGCATGCGGGTACATAAGCTTATATGATTGGCGTATGGTGACATCGGCCACACCAGCAATGTCGCCAATTTCCTTTTGGCTGCGCTTGTGCTCCGATGCCTGCGATGCCATATAAATAGCGGCAGCAGCCACCGAAATCGGCGATCGACCAGGTACAATGTCCATCTCCACGGCCTTCTTAGCAATGTGCGTGGCAGCTCGCTGCACCATGTTGGGTAAATCTATAAATTCATGAAAATGAGAATTACTCGATCTACATATATATATGAAAGGTGTCAATGCAATAACTTACCCAAATTGGCACAGAAGCGGCACATGAAGTCGGCTGTTGTTATCAAATCAACACTTGTTTCCAGTGCTTTCAATGTTAGCTTAAAGCATCTGCCAATTTCCTTCTTGCTAATCTTGCTAACTGCACAGATTTCCTTGAATGTACGTGGCACACCCTCTTGGCGGCACGCTATGTACAGGCAAGCGGATGCCTTCGCATCATTTGAACGTCCTTTCAGATTCTTTCCATCATGTACCTGTAAATACAAAATCAGTAATGATTTGACAATAAGCCTATCAAGCTACATACCTGCTTGAACAAGTTATTTGCGCGATCGACGATTGTTTTGGGCAGATTGATGCGATCAGCCATAGATGAAATTTCTTTGAATGCTGATATAAGTGAACGGTCTGAGCTGCTCATTGTGCGTCTGTTCTGGTATTTAGGTGCGCCGAAGGCATCGAATGATGCCGAACCTGTCCCCGGGCCGATGATTGTGGATAAATCTCCGCCACTGAGTAAGGGATTCTCTGGACCACCCACACGGCTAGGATCCACTCCACTTTTTTCATTGCTAAATGTGCGCCATTCGGAGCCCACATCGATAACCCGATCACCAACCACCAGGCCACATTCTGAGCATATCATGTCGCCAGCTCGATAGTCCTCAATTAACGGAGACTCCGGATGGGCATAGCAGCACACTTTGTTGTTTTCCAGTCTAGAAGAGTATTCCACAATATATCACAATATTTGATAATAAATATTATATTTACCTTGAAGTTGACGCCATTTGATGTTTTTATCTGTTTGCGCACAACTATTTTTTTTAGTGTTTTAACTTTTTTTTGTTGGCAAGCGCAAATTAATTTCGACACACCAAAAAAGTTGTGATTCTTCTTCTTTAGTCTGTTAGTTTAACATGTGTCTAACAGAGTGCGTAAATATTTACTGAGCGGGTGTTACAATTTTTACAAATGTCTCTTAGATTTTTACAATACGTAAAATGCACAACAAAAATTCACTGAAAGTTAACAAAAGTAGATCAATTTCTTGATTGCTAACTGAACCATTAAAAGTTGTTAACAGAACAATCAGAAACTATAAACAGGCACTGACCAGAGAAACAGGCCAATTACAAACAGCTGATCCTAAAATTGATCGACAATCGGCGTAAAAGCGATAAGCGAAACCGTCAAACACCAATACCTATCAATAGAGCAAAATATTTATGACAGACTTTTAACTGAACCCAAATGGTATATTCAGTTCATATTAATCTAAAAACGAGTCGGAATAGCATTGACATAAAAAAGAAAGAGTACTGTCGAAATTGATTTCGAAATGTAAATTACAACGTAATAAACAAGTTCCACCACAACGACACAAGTAATATCGACACTTATTACATGGTCAACCGATGGCAGCCTATCGATAAATTTTGGTGTTAAACCGATTTGTAAAAATTACCCACACACACATAGATACTTTCATATATTTTATGCTGAAGGGAACACGGAAAGTAGACTTATTAAATGGTGCATCGGTATACAGTTTAAATGATTCGTCGATTCCGTTGTGGTTCTCTTGCTCCGGTTACTCGTGTCACTTGCTTTTGACAGTTCATATGCCTATATAACAAATTTTCTCTGGAAAGTACGAAACAATTCAGAAAGCAAAACTATTCTTAACATGACGAGCAAACATATATATTCAACCACAAATTTATCTGACCTGCAATTGAAGGAGCAGGGCAATTGTTTATTTGCGGCCCGCAAATATGACGATGCGATTATATGTTACTCGAAAGCCATTGTAAGATATTATCAAACTTTTAAAGTGAAATAATTCATGTATATTGTGTATATATGTATATAAATATCTTGTATTCCACATAGATTAAGAATCCCACAAATGCAACCTACTTTACGAATCGTGCGCTTTGCAATCTAAAGCTAAAGCGTTGGGAGCTGTGCTGTCAAGATTGTCGACGAGCTTTGGATATAGACGCCAACTTACTAAAAGGACATTTTTTCCTTGGTCAGGGACTTATGGAGATTGACAATTATGACGAGGCTATAAAACATCTACAGCGTGGTAAAAATTTGCAATTACTTTTAGTGTCTATACTCATATAATTATTTTTCTAATGCGCATATTTTAAGCCTACGATTTGTCAAAGGAACAAAAGCAGAATTTTGGAGATGATATAACCTTGCAATTGCGGTTGGCACGCAAAAAGCGTTGGAATATTATGGAAGAAAAGCGAATACTTCAAGAAATTGAGCTGCAAACTTATTTAAATCGGTGCGAATATAGATAGATATTTCCTAGGCTCTATAGTTAAATTATTTGATTAATTTCAGTCTAATCAAAGATGACATGGAAAACCGCTTAGCCAGCTTAAAGCTAAATGAAAACTTGAATGAGGAAAACTTAAAGGAAAAGCAACAAGAAATTGAACAAGAATGCGTAAGATATCTTTGCAAAGCTTTCTGTTGATATAAATTATTGCATACGAAAAGAGATAAGACATAGGAAGTGCTCTTGAATGTCGAATTTATAAATAGTTTGATTCACTTTGTAGTTTATTAATATATTTTTCTTTTATAGGATGATCATATTAAAGAGCTTAATAATATATTTGCTAAAGTGGACGAACGTCGAAGGGTAAGAACAGAGGAAGTGTTATCTGAGTGTATAAAATATAATGATTTTATTGACAGAAACGCGATGTGCCCGATTTTCTGTGTGGGAAAATAAGTTTTGAAATATTAACTGACCCGGTAATTACTCCATCAGGCATTACATATGAGCGTAAGGATATCGAGGAGCACTTGCAACGTGTTGGCCATTTTGATCCTGTAACAAGAGTGAAACTCACGCAGGATCAGCTAATACCAAACTTCTCAATGAAGGAAGTAGTTGACTCATTTATTGCTGAGAATGAATGGTCTTTAGATTATTGATTTGTTGTAGTCTGTAAACAACTCAAAGAAAAAAAAAATGAAATATATGTATATTGTAATTATATAGCTGGTAAAAGCAGTTAAATACAAAATGTCAATATAAAATTCTCTATATTCATTGTATAATTTGAGTAGAGACTATATTGTTTATATTAAGTTATTGTATTATGATATATAGTACTATACAAGCGCCAATCGAAATAAATTAATTAAACGTTCATTTGTCGTCGTCGTCTTCATAATTTATATTCGTCTAAAAACATCGCCAGAATAAAGGATGGAATGAATGCGATGATTGTAAATGATATATCGATATATTTTTCAATAAGACTTGGTGGCTCAGAAAACGGCGCGAATGCATAAACATTTTGCTACAATATTAATAAAAATTTGGTAAAAATATGTCTGGAAACAATGGTACGGTTGCGCGCATGCCATGGGTAGAAAAATATCGGCCCAACTGCTTGGATGACTTAATATCTCATGAAGAAATAATTTCAACGAGTAAGACATGCTTTGATACCGGAAAATGGAAGACAGCCGCTAATAATTATATTTATTTTAGTCAATCGCTTTATTAATCAGAAGCAGCTGCCCCACTTGCTCTTCTATGGTCCACCAGGCACAGGTAAAACGAGCACTATTTTGGCCTGTGCCCGTCAGCTATATTCACCAGCACATTTTAAGTCCATGGTACTTGAGCTGAATGCGTCTGATGATCGTGGCATTGGAATTGTTCGTGGTCAGATTCTTAACTTTGCCTCGACTCGTACCATTTTCTGTGGCACCTTTAAGCTTATCATACTGGACGAGGCGGATGCTATGACGAATGACGCACAGAATGCCTTGCGTCGCATTATTGAAAAGTACACGGAAAACGTGCGCTTCTGCATCATTTGCAATTATCTAAGCAAAATAATTCCCGCTCTCCAATCGCGTTGCACACGTTTCCGCTTTGCCCCACTTTCCCCAGAGCAGATGATGCCGCGCCTTAATAAGGTTGTGGAGGAGGAGAAGTATGCAATCCATCCAGGCTGCAGTATACCCAATTTCTAAGCAGTTTGTATTTTCAGTGTCAACATTACGGATGATGGAAAAAAGGCATTGCTGACCCTCGCTAAGGGTGATATGCGAAAGGTTCTGAATGTGCTTCAGAGTACTTCGATGGCCTTCGATGTAGTCAACGAGGATAATGTTTATATGTGTGTGGGATATCCGCTTAGAAGTGAAATTGAAAATGTGCTACAGACACTGCTATCCGCAGCCACATTCGACTCGGCATTTGATAGTAAGTTTGCAATTTATAAAAAATATTTCTTTTCTATACTCTTGCAATCCTTATGACAGCAATTGAAGAAGCGAAGAGTAAGCGAGGACTTGCTTTAGAGGATATTGTTACAGAACTGCATTTGTTTATTATGAGACGTAAGAGTACTTAATTATTGTTTCACTCTACACTACTACACACTAAAATCTTACTATAACCCACAGTTGAACTGCCCATGTCGGTGATGAATAAATTAATAATTAAGCTGGCAGAAGTTGAAGAGAGATTAACCAAGGGCTGCTCGGAGACTGCACAAACTGCAGCGCTGGTATCTGCGTTCTTTATAAGTCGTGATATGGTGTCGCTGGAAAGCTAGAGAGCAACTTTTTAAATCGTTTAACGGATGATTATTAAAATTAAGAAACCATTAATTAAATACACTTATATATACGAAAATAAAGCAGATCTTTAAATAATTGTGTTAATATTATAAATCGATGTTTTCGATATAAACGATATCAATTTTCTCATGTCATCTCTAAAAAGCAGTAATCGATAGCAGAATTGTATATTTTGGTGTTTCAGATCAGGTGAATTTACAAAAGCAATTGTAAAAATGAATGCTGTCGACGCGGATGCTCATTTGTTGGCTTTAAAGGGTAAGGGTAAGGTTATGCGGCGCTTAAAATAATATAAAAAAATTATACGTCTTACAGTAATGCGACTGACTCGCCCTACGCTTGTTGGACTTGGGCCAATAGTTACCTGCGAACCAAAGGACTTGCCTCAGAGTTTCAACCGACTAGTAGAGTTCGACGGCATTGCTCGAACGTCTGCTGAAGCACTCGGTGCCGGTCAAACGATGCTGTTGCCTCAATCATTTGGGAATATTTACCTGGGCGAAACCTTTTCGAGTTACATATGTGTACATAATTGCACCACTCATCCCGTTGAAGGTGTTTCTGTTAAAGTAGATCTGCAGTCCAACTCATCGCAAATCAATCTGCTGATGCATGAAAATAAGAAGTCTTCAGTGGTTTTAACAGCTGATGAAACACTCGATGATGTCATTCGATATGAAGTAAAGGAAATTGGGACTCACATGTGCGTGAGACATTTAATGAAAATTACTTATTTTCATAGAATTATTTAAACTTTGCCTTTTTAGATTAGTCTGTGAAGTAAACTACACGAGTCCTGCGGGTTTCGCCCAATCCCTGAGAAAGTTTTTCAAGTTTCAAGTACTTAAGCCACTCGATGTAAAGACAAAGTTCTACAATGCCGAAATGGACGAAATATATCTTGAAGCGCAAATTCAAAATGTTACTACCGGCCCATTTTGTCTAGAAAAAGTTGAATTGGACAGCTCGGAGCAATACACAGTTACCTCTTTGAATACTTTACCCAACGGAGAGTCGGTTTTTACCTCCAAAAATATGCTGCAACCCAATAACAGCTGTCAATTTCTTTATTGTATAAAGGTTGGATAAGAGTAACATTTTCTGAGGTCGAATAAACCATTTTTTTTTTATTTCAGCCAAAAGCTGAAATTGCAAAAGACATTAAAACTCTGCGTGAGGCAAACAACGTAGGAAAACTCGACATTGTCTGGAGATCGAATTTTGGCGAAAAGGGCAGACTGCAAACAAGCCAACTGCAACGATTGGTATTTATTGAATTAATATCTTCATTTTACTGAGTGTTAAATAGTTTCATGTTTCTTTTAGCCCTTCGAATACAAGGACCTGCGCTTGGAAGTAATAGATGCCGAAAATATTGTCAAAATAGGAACCATATTCACATTCCAATGCCGCGTAACCAATACAGCGGAGCATCCAATGAAATTGCATGTGAAACTCGATACGAAAGTTTTTCCCGGTTGCCCCTACACGGGATCAGCAGATTTTGAATTGGATACATTGCAGCCAGGGCAGCTAGCTGAATTTCCACTTACAATTTGTCCATCTAAATTGGGTCTCATTAAAGTATCCCCATTAGTAATAGTCGATACACTGAAAAACGAACAATTTATAATGACAAAAGTTGTGGAAGTGTTTGTTGTAGACGCTGATTACCATCAGGATGGTACGTTTTTGCTTAATAAGCTAATTCGCTATGAAAATCCAATTGATTCTTTGATGCAGAAGCAAGTTCAGTTGCAGGTCGTTTAGTTAGACAATATATGAAATTCAAAGTTTGACAAATTGTAAATATGTAATTTTATAGCTAGCATAAATTATATATATAAGTAAATCAGTTTATTTGATATCTACAAATAAGTCAACAATATATTTGTGAATTAGACTTTATATCAGTCAAAATTTATTTCTGCCTTTTGCTACGCAGAGTATCATCAAGGCGACTATTCCTAATGAGCTTAAACGGTCATTTATATTTCAAAATTTATTGACCCTTGCTCACTATTAGGCGTTAATTTTTTTTTCAATTTGCATTTAGAAGTGATTTCTGTAATTTAAAATGTCAATCAACTATGGCCCCTACTATGCTATATAAGAAAGCCTTTTGCCTTGAACATCGCAGTAAAAAAGATATTTGACATGCATTCGAGCGCTACAAGAGTAGTGCTTACCTTGGTGAGCATATTTTCTGTAACAGTTTTCGCTATGGAGGGTTCAGTTATAATGGACTACAACACGCGCCTTGTTAGGACAAAGCAATGCATAATATTTGCCTGCTCTGAGCATGGTATGTTATTCGTATTTATAGCTTCTTCACTTTTAACTTATGCTTGGTTTAATTTTAGATTTGTATTTCAACGTTCTAGCACTCATGGCCGCCAATCAATTCGTTCAACCGGTCCATATGAATAGCTCCTATGACTTGGTGTCAATTTTAACAAGAGAAAACTATGCGCGAACATCTGTGATTGTGGACACGACCTGTGAAGGCGCTCCTAAACTGCTAAAAGAGGCGTCTGCCAATAGATATTTTAATAAAACCTATCAGTGGCTACTGTGGGGCGTTGAGGCGAACATCACTGATTTGCTACCAATCGATTTAGATTATGTTGGTCCAAATGCACAACTCACGTATGTGAATAAAACAAGCGACGCCTATTTGCTTTGGGATGTGCATTCAAAGGGTCGTCATCTGAAATCACCACTAGAATTGCATTTGATAGCAAAACTATCAACGGAGCTACATAAATTGGTTGTAATTAACGAGATATTCGATCTGCAGAGCATCAAATATCGCAGTCAGTTCAATGGCCTGACTCTGCGAGGCGCAAGTGTTGTAAGTAAGGAGTGATATCAGATGGAATGAATATTATACATAGTTTCACTATTGTAGATCGATCAGGAGGACATTTTGACGAATCAACAAATTGAAGCCATACTGTCGAGGCCCACAAAGGATGCGGGTGTGGCAGCATTTATCAAATATCATTATGAACTGTTGAGCTTGCTGCGAGATCTCTTTAACTTCACCGTCAACTTTCGCAATTCGAGAGGTTGGGCAGGCCGATTGGGCAACACAACTTTTCGACTCGGCTTGCTGGGCATTATAAAGCGCAATGAAGCAGATATTGCAGCATCTGGAGCATTCAATCGAATAAATCGTTTCGCCGAGTTCGATACAATTCATCAGAGTTGGAAGTTTGAGACAGCTTTCCTATTTCGATTTACGCCCGATTTGGATACGCGTGGCAAAAGTGGAAATTTTCTAGCACCCTTCAGCAGGCAGGTGTGGCTCTTCACCGTGGCTACTTTGATTGGCATTAACAGCATTTGGCTGCTGCTGGACTATCTAAGCAAAAGATGGCATTCTCAAGCAATGCAATGTATTGAGGAACGAATTTTTAATATAAGGATCCGCAGAAATTTGAGTGCTCATCAAGCAATTACGAATTCTCACAGCAACTGGACAGAACGTATTCTACACACTTTTGGTGCTGTTTGCCAACAGGGAATGGAACCAATTCCCAGGGATATGCCGTCACGCTCCATTGTCCTTACAGTTTTTCTTTTCTCCGTCGTAATGTACAATTATTACACCTCATCTGTCGTTGGTGGACTGTTGAGCTCCTCGGATCTAGGGCCAGCTACCGTGGATGAAATAACTAATAGTCCCCTTAAAGTATCGTTTGAAGATATAGGATACTATAAAGTTTTATTTAAAGTAAGTTAAATATTTCAATAAAGCCAATTCACTTATTAATTGTTTGTTTACCAAAGGAAAGTTCCAATCCAACTGTGACTCGTTTGATAAGCAAGAAACTGTCTGCATCTAGAGGTCCCAATGAAATGGGTGTGTATGGTCACATAGAGGATGCGATTCCATATCTAAAGAGGGGTGGATTTGCATTTCACTGCGAAGTGGTTGACGCTTATCCCATAATAGCCGAGTTGTTTGACGCCAATGAAATATGTGATCTACGCGAGGTGTCTGGCCTAATGGAGGTAGAAATTATGAATTGGATTGTCCATAAAAATAGTCAATATACCGAACTCTTTAAAACAGCGTAAGGATGCCATATACCATGTCGTATTAGGTCATACCTTTATATATATAATTTCAGTATGTGTAAAGCTCGGGAAGTTGGGCTGGTCGAAAGACTACTGCGACAGCGTCAAATGAAGAAACCGGAATGTCAGTCTCTATACACCGTCTATCCAGTGACTATATCGGGTGTTTCTTCAGCATTCCTTACGCTGTTAAGTAATATATTTTGTTGAATGTTGTTGTTGTTGTTGATTAACTTAATGCCTTACTTTAAGGTGGAGTCTTAATCGCTTTATTTGCATTATGCCTGGAAATAGCATCGGTCAAATGGCAAATGCGAAGGTAAGATTATAAAAGGTTTTTTTTGACTTACATAAAGTCTTTTTTACTTGTAATATTTATATATATTTTGAAGACACTCCTGGACTTTTTCAATTTTATTTTTAATTCAGTTAATCATAATAAATACCCTACTGAAAAATTTCCTATTATAACTGAACAAAACTTTGCATACAGAGATGCAAATTAAAAAGTGTGTTGAAAGAGTTTGAAAGCTTCAAATGTCCGTCTAGCCAGTTAGACATCAGAATCCCTCTAATCAATTGAATTAGATTTGCGAGTAAGAAATACGGAAAGCCAGATAGATTTTTTAATATATTGGTTTTATTTAGTGATTAGGCAATCGACATATGTATATTATGTATCAATATAAATCTTTTTATGTACCAATTGAACAAGATTTTGTTGAAAAGTTCTCAAATAATAAAATAACTGCATTGCCAAACGTTTCGACTTTATTATAAGGAATTTATGAAGTTAGTTTAAAAAAATTTATCTAAATGGTTATTTGCCTCGGATGAGTTGCGCTTGGCGCTGAGACAGTGTTTCGATATATAAATACACATGCATATACACACAATAAATTTAACTATTCTATTTAAGTTTAGTCTCAAAATAATTCCGTAAATTCAGTATTTAAAATCACAATTTTTCATTCCGAAAGTATTTTGCACTTGTCAGTGTTTTTCTTTTACCGAGTTTTCCTTTGTATTTTCTTTCTGTCACAAATATGAATTATTCTCACGTCTTCCTGATTTCTATTTTAAAATGAGCTTTAACGGATTTAACAGAACTCGAGATCATATGGTTTTCTTTTGCCAATAAAATAAACGGTTGTTTGTGTAATGCGGATTATTTCGTCGATTACTTTCTGAATATATATATATATCTATGTATATATACGATGCTATAATGGTGCCAAGACTATGAAAGGGAGTCTTCCATATATGTATGCTAAGTGTGTTGTCCCCTTTTTTATAAACCTCTACCGTTGTCCACAGTTCAGTTTTCAATAGATGCTGCGCCCAAATTGCTGCCACCCAATTGATTGTGTGCTATCATTAATATGTCCTTTTTCTCCTTGGGAAAACGTAGCTCGCGCCCTGCCATGCGTGCCGTCTCGAGCTCACGTTCAGCCAAGACTAATTCTCTTCTCAGCACTCCAGGATTCTCCTGCTCACGTGCTATCCAGTCCAGGGCCATTTGAGCTCTCATTTCATCATCCAAGCTACGATTGGAGTAATGTGCAACTACCTCCTGTCTAGAGCACTGACGCTCGCGCATCGCCTTCAATGATCCATTCCAATGCAGTAGTTGAAACACGGTCATCAATTCTTGAAACTCCAGCATCGTACGGCCCTTATTTGCCTCGAGCATGAACCTAAATTCATATATATTACAAATTATATATGTAAGTCTCAAATATTATATTTCTTACGTACCTAAATGCACCGATACCCGATTCTGGTAATTCATTGTTTTGCGGTGTTCCCTTGAAAGAGGCGCGTGCATCCTGAACAGCCTTTTCAATAAATTCATCGGTTATACGACGCGACGGATGCTCATTAAATACCGAATTCATGAGTGCAATTTTAGCCGAACTTCGTCTAGCTTCCGCTTTCGTTGGACAATTCTGAAAGGGTTAACGGTTAGCAATTTTTACTCTATCAGCAATTTTACTCTATCAGTTATACCTGAAAACTACCAAAACAACTGCCGCCAGGTAATGTAACGAAGCACACATAGGGCTGGCTGTTCGATGGAATCGATTCATAGATCACTAGAGCTCCATTCTTGAGCTCGACTCCTCGCGATTGTTTCATTTGCCAAAACTCTTGCAAAGCTTCCACAACATTAACTATGAGTAAAGAAATATATCAAATAAAATAAGGCAAAATATTTATAGAAATGGGCTTACCCCTATAATCTCGATCTTCGTATAATCCAGATACCATTGGCAAAGCCCAGAAGGGTTCTTCCGGATAGACCATTATACGCTTGCACTTGGTGATTATTGTACAAGAATGGAGCTAAACAGTGTATATAATTTGCAACTTAAATCATCACACTTGGAAATTAAGAATTCATCAATCAATATTCGTCAATCTTTAACTGAAAGTAAAGTGCAAAAATATTATACCACGTAATATTATTTAATAATATTTAACAATCTTGTAATCTTGTTAGTTTGGAAATTTCTCGACTTCGTTTTCTTTTTGCACATGCACATATATGTATTCATTCAACACCCTACGCATTTGTAAAAGTACATTAAGTCGCTGATATTTCATCATCGGCATTTCCAGTTTGCTTCTTAAGTCATCTGTTTTATGCTCTTTTAGAAATCGCCTCTCCCACAGACACGGCGCACTGGCACTCGGACACAAACACATACACATGCATATGCTTGCAGACGTACATATATAAATGTATGTAGGTAGGTCTGCGAGTTGTATGTGCATATTTTACAAGTGGTACAAGGAGTATACACACTTGAAACCCATAATTAATATATGTATATGTATACGCATACATACATATGTAAGCCGTTAAATGACTGTGGACAAACGACACGCATACTCATATAAATAGAAGTACGTACATACATGAATGCATACTTACAAATAGGTGAACTAAATTTTTCCAACTGTAAATGTCTTTTTTTATTGCCCCACACAAATCAAATACTTGCGCATTAAAATTTATTATTTTGTCTCTTGACTTGTGTGTTGTTTTAATCTATTACAATCCTTATTTTGTATCTAATAATTATAAAATGGCGTTCACACCTCTACGCCAACTCACAAAAGCTAAAAAATAGCTACACACGTAGTCATATATACTTTTATGCATATATATAAATATGCACTTGCAAGTGACAAACTTGTTGAGCACAATAAAACCAACCTGTGATTTTCATTGCCGACTACGCGTATGCGCACTGTTCAATTATATCGGTTTGCAATTTTTCACTGTGATCGTACATAAGCTTTGTCGCAAGTGTTGGATAAGGTACAAATTTAATGATTTGCTCGTCAGATTTTATCATCATACTACAACAACAAAAAAAGGGGCTCCTTATGTGGTTGGCAGCATGATTGTGTGACCGTCGTACATAGTACTCCTATTCGCAACAATTGATCGCATCAAATGTTGCCGATAGCTATCGATATATTGGAATAACTGAATAAAAACACGGAAATGAAGTTTATTTTTGCAAAGCTAGTTTCTTCTTTGGAAAATCAAATATTTGTATTATCTAATTTACAAGTTATCTTATATTTTAATTTTTCTGATTTTATTGGGGATTGAGTCTAAAAAATGTGAAAATGCACTTAAAAAATGTTTTGATGGAAATATTATCAAACTGGAAAATCTCTTTCAACAAGAGTTTTTTTTTATAAATTAAATGGTACTATCGAATATATGGCTGGTATGCATATCCAATTACTGGCAAAATTCTTCCCTATCAATTTCTTTATTCCTTAACGATATAATAGATTTAAGCACTGACCAGAGAACACAGACTCTGGTCAGTGATTTAAGTGTCTTGTCAGATTGTTTTTTTCTTCGGTTTATATATGTATTTAAAAAAATATATTTATTATCTGTACAGATGGAATCGTTTTTTCAGACCTACACGTGTCCACAAAGGAATAGCTATACAGGATCAAGCCTAATATATATGTATATATAGCTAACGCAATACCTAATTTGGCCTTGGCTTTAACTATGATGTTAATGCTTAAAGATATAATAAAAATTACTTTCAAACACAAAAGAAATGCTGATTTCTAATTATAAAAGGTAATTTCAGACATTTATTAAAAAATTAAATTTATCCGGCACTAAATTTTCTGAATTTTGTTTTTGAAATATTTTGCAAAGGATTATTCATGTTAATTAACATAAACATGTTCAGTAAGAGAGAGAGAGAGTTTCACAGCATACCCAAAGTGTGCGTCGTCTACTCGTACTAACAGAGTGCTATAAAACAGCCGGTGGTGCTGTAAAGCTCGTGTAAGTTGACAAGTGGCCAAGTAAGTCGATCTTGGATGCATATATCATTGATATATTAATTTTAGTATTAGTTCTTGAAATATGTAGGTTGATTTTGCTATGGGAGGGATTGGAATCAAAAATTGTTGTTTATTTGCCAAACATATTCCAATTGTAACATTTAAAAAAAACTTAAAAAGACTTGTAACTCATATATTTGTTTATATACGAAGTCTTGTCAATGAAAATTACACTTTTTTGCCTAGTTTTTCAATGATAAACTCTTTTAGGGGCTGATAATACTGATAGCGCAAACTAAGCATTTCGGGAGAGTTTCGTACGCGTTCAAACATTTCCAGCTCTGATTCCATGATGAGGACAGCTGTGCCAGCCATTGCGATTACAACAAAGATAACGGATGGTATAAAGGCGTGTAATAAATGGAATTTACGTAAACTTTTGCCACCATTGTTAGGATTGGAGTGTGTGCGCGAAAATTTGCCTAAATGTTTCCCACTGGCGATACCGACGGAAGAGCTTGAATTTAAGGCGGGATTGGGCAGCGCATAGTACTGCTTGGATGAATAATAAAGATGCTGTTTGGAGTCATTCTGGTTCCCACGCGGTTTTCCAGCCACGTCGTATCCGCTCGCTGTGAGTCCACTCTCCGTGGACGAATGCTCCATGGAGTCACGGAACGCATAGCCGGATAAATCGGAACCCATGTGATTGAGTCTATCTATATTCGAGGAGCGAAGACGCGCCTCTTCGCAAACCGGCTCCAGGCTAGGCATTTGCAGACTACCATTGACGCCAGTGTCCTGGCCATAGATGAGAATGCTCGGCGCCATGGAGCAGCCCAGTGGCTCAGACATTGTGGAACGTGGCAAACTGCTGTAGCCTGTAAAATTAAAAGGATTAATATTTATCAGTGGGGTAATTTGAAAGGCTTTACGGCTTACGTATTTGTGCTAGGTCGCCCTGCGGACTGGAGGGCGTGGCTGGTACACTGCTCGCTTTGCGCTTGCTCGAAGTTGAATTGGTCATTTTTTGCTCGCGTAATGCGTTTATGCTTTCAGTCAATATCTCGCGTTCAGTTCGACCCGTATAACGGAACTTGGTGCCCCAGGAGAAAAAGCCACCGCCAGAGACAACAGCTGCATGCTGGCTATTTGGTAATCTATAAAAAGAAAAGAAAAGAAAACAAGTAAGAAACCTTTAGTCGAGACTGCTCGACTACGAGATCCCCTGAACCCTTGGAGCAATAGCTATTTAAATAATTTTTCGCGTCTTTCAGCTTACATAAGAAACACGCACACACGGATATGCTTGTATTTGCCAAAGCACAAGTCTCTAGTATTTGAAATACGCTTTTTACAAACAAAACCGAAATTGGTTTTCGATAAGGTTTCTTATTGATAAAAAAAGAACGGGATGAGTTATCGATTTTTAGTGATAAACTCGATATCCGCGCTGTAAATACGGACATTTAAAAAAAATTTGAAGTCTCTAGCTCTTATATCTTCTGAAATCGACGCGTTCAAGCATACGGACAGACGGACGGACAGACGGACGGACAGACAGACGGACAGGGCCAAATGAGACTCAGCTCGTCGCCCTGATCAAGAATATATATACTTTGTGGGGTCTGCCACGCCTCTTTTTGCTTGTTACATACATTTCAACAAAACCATTATACCCTGATTTCCCATTGAAAATGGGTTCAGGGTATAAAAAACAGCGTTGGCTTTAATAAGTAAATATGATTAAATCCAGGACTGATATCCCTCTGCGAGAATCTCGTTAACGTCAAAATATACTTACGTGAAAAATAACATTTGCTCGATGGCGCATCTCCATAGATAGCGGCAAGCGGGTCCTGATGGGCACTTGAAGCCAATTGTGTGTTTTTTCTATAATTATCATTGTTAATATATATAGTTAGTTATACAGCTTCAAGGGCTTCACTTACGGGCTCCCGGCTGGCATCTGTAAAGCTTAAGTGCGCAATAAACATTTTTCCCTCGAAGTTAATTTTATGCACTTCATTCCATCGAAAGTGTTGCGACCGTTTGCCAGCTACAAAGGTGCTGATGCCCGCATGATTGATGCCCACGTAGAGCAGTGAGCCGCGATGATCCTTTACGGGATGCGGATCAATACCATATGTCTCTAGGCCGCGCGCGATGCCCATGAATTCGTCCATGGCGACGGAGGGGTGCTGGCCAGGTTTTCGCTTCTTGTGCAGCTCTATGATCTTCTTTTCCAGACTCTCGGTTTGACGTAAAGCCAAGTCCAATGACGACACATAGTCTCCCACGTGTATTAGCTCGTCATAATCACCGAGTTCCTCTGCAAATTACAAAGAGTTTATGCATCACTTTGCTAAAATATTATTTAGATCTTACCCTGCACGATAAGTGCACCCAAGGCAGCTGCCTCGCCCATCGAACAGTATAAGCGCCCATGACGAAGATCTCTCTTCAGCTGCTGGAAGAGCATGATGCGTCCATTGCCGGTGAGGCGAAATGGATCCGCTGGATAAAATTTAACACGTAACGAAAATAGTACAGGATCTATATCTGAAAACAAAATAAAAAAAGTGATTTTTAGGTTATACTCATTTTATTAAGGAAATTCAATTTAATTAAATACCTTTGCATTGCTTTAATATGGATTTGGCTAGGTCAAGCCAGTGCTAAAAATAAATATATATGTTAAATAAAACATACCTAAATATTCCTTTATTGACTCATATTTACCCTTTGTTTTCCCGTATCTACATAGCGTAAACCAAAATAGTCCTTTTCCTTAATATCTAATTGCCTACATATATGGTCGACTAGGTAAATGCCTTTGTGGAATGGCTGCAATAAGAATGAATGATAACAAGAGAGTGAAATAGTGAGAGAGAGAGAGAGAGAAAGAGAGAATACGGAAATACATTTTTAAATTAAATTCATAAAAAAGCTGTTAACTTGGATTGTTTGGTTTGTTATAGCTGAGGTAGTTACGCCCTTATTCTTATTTCTGCAGACACGCACACATGTTCGCACAGACCCACCCACACACACATTTACGTACTCATACACACACGCCCAACAAAACAGCGTTGATTTTCCTTGATTTTCTCCCTTCTTAAAGCCGAAAATGTATTCAGTCTCAGATTTAACTATTTTATTGCTTAAGCTCACCTGGAATTCGCATTCTAAGACATCCGAATCATCAAGCAGGCGAACAGTGCACTTGTACACAACATTACATTCGTTTTTACTTTTAAACATTTTATTTTTAGACTTTATTATCGACTTTAGCCAGTGCTTTAATTAAAAAACACTAAAAACTGTATATAAAAATATAACTTATGTCAGTTTTATGATCGTGTTTTTGTTCATTATCTTTAAATTTGTGTACTAAAAGTTAATTAGTTTTTAACGTTATTTTAAACTTTTGTTTGCCGACAATGTCAGTGTCCTTTATCGCCCTTCGCTTTTCTCTTAAGGGTGTTTTTTTTTTTTGCTTGAGAAAACAAACAAGATAAAAGCACCAAAAATGGACAAATGMCTATAAATTGAATTATGATTTAAGGGCGTATCAGATTTGTATATTATATTATTAAATAGTAACTTTATAACAAAATAAAACATTACTATAAAATCATGACTTCAAATATTGCATATATTTCTCTTTAAATTAAAACAACGGCAAATGGTGCTGCAATCGATAAGCGTTCGATTGTAGTTCAAATGAACAATGTCAGCTGGTTCGTTGAGGTTTTCGATCAAATACTCCACGCGGCTTAACAGCTGTTTTTGGCAAAAACGTAAGTTTACTAATATATAAATAACTGATAAATATATAATATTTTGCTCTGTTATATTTTAGCACACCATGTTTCAACCAGAAGATCACGGGCTAGAGGCGGATTTTCGCCTGACCATGTTTTCCACTCTGCGCGGGTGAGGATGCAAAGTCCCCGAAGAGAAGCTTAAGCAATATCTCACGGGAACAGAAATAGTTAGTAATGCTCCTAAAAATAATGATGACTATATTGGTAAGTATTTTGTTATTCCAAAATTTATAAAAATACTTTGAGTAATTTTGCACCTTAAACAACTATTATTATATGCTTATCTAATGCTTATCTTAAATGCATACAGAGATTAATTAAAGCTTGACCTTGAATTTCTAATTATATACATATTTATGTATCTAAATATTAAATATTCATAAACTTATATTTCAAACCAAAAAAAGGATCTGGAATGGATTGCGCGGTTGTACCTTTATCACGGCATACCGACTATTCGCTCGTACAGACTGTTGACTTCTTTTATCCTCTAGTTGATGATCCCGAAACAATGGGCCGCATAGCTTTTGCCAACGTTTTGAGTGATGTATACGCTGTTGGCGTCACGGATATCGATAAAATCGAAATGCTTATTAGTGCGCCCTCAAATCTGACAGAGAAACAGCGAGATATTGTGGTTCCCCTGATTGTCAAAGGCTTCCAGAGAGCATCGAGCAACAGCGGCTGTTATGGCAATGTGACTATAAAAAATATTATTATTAATCCTTGGTGTATTATTGGCGGCATTGCGACTGCCGTTTGCTTAAAGCAAGACATTATATTGTAAGTACATACTTCAGTATTAGAGCATGTCAATATACTATATTTAACACCGTTGCAACTTTTTAGACCCTCAAACGGCAAAGCTGGCGATGTCCTGGTACTAACGAAGCCACTTGGCACACAGCTAGCAACGAGTGCTCATATTTGGCAGAAGGAAAAAAATGAAAAGTATGAAAAGCTGCTAACTGAATATACGAGCGAAGATATCATGGAAACATTTGAAATAGCAATAAAATCTATGACATATCTCAATCGAAATGGTAAGCTGCAGGAATTATGTGTAATATTAATGTGGTAATATTGATGTGTTATATTGATGTGTGGGGCTTTTGTGTTGTTTCTAAAAGTCTTTAACTTTAAAAATTTTCCGATCTCCCATATTGCTGAAATTTAAATGTCATTATAAATACCACTGATATTAAATATATATATATCGTTTTGTTAATCAATTGTCTGCAATAAGGTATAGATATGGTTGAAATAATCTAATAAAATATTTATATTTTAGCTGCTTTGCTAATGAAGAAGTACGAAGCGCATGCTGCAACAGATATCACGGGCTTCGGTTTGCTGGGACATGCCAAAAATCTGGTTGAGTTTCAGAAGGAGTCGCTTCTATTTGAAATTCACAAATTGCCTATCATAAAAAACGTTTTAAGGTTTGGCGAATTAGTTGGGCAATGCACAAAACTAAAAGCTGGCAAGGCCGTTGAAACATCTGGTGGATTACTCATTTGCCTAAGCCCTGAAGCAGCTGAAGAATTTTGTGTGGAGTTTGCAAAATTGACAAGTGGAGCACAAAAGGCCTTTGTTATTGGCGAAGTTAAAGATGCGGTTAAATCTGTTGCAAAATTGGCTGAAAATGTTGAGCTCATTGAGGTGTCACTTTAAAAAATATTGTTTGGTTTAACGAGTCAAACTGAGTGTTCAACTTATGATTATTATTTCGTAAAGGTTTTGGCTGGGAAATAATATGAATTGATTTATATGTAAATATAAATTTTTTGACATTTGGTTAGATTCTTTATAACTAACAAACTAACAAGTGCTTGAATTCTGTATAATTTTAATAAAAGTTGTCGAAGCCGCGCAATCACTTTTGTAATCCTCGTTTTTTTAATACCTAAAATATAACAGAGCTGGGTAATTGTTTGAATCGAGCAATGTTATAACGGGGACCCATTGTTATCGGATGGGAATAGCCGATACAACACGATATACTATCGCACATCAAACAGGCAGGCATATCGATAACATCATTTTACTTATGCATTTTCCAGTTCCAACACGCAAATTTTTGTGCCGGAAAAAAAAATTGAGTAGACCTATTATTTTGTCTAAGACAAAACATAACTTGTGAGACGGTCACAATATTGATAATCGGCTACCGTGTACATAATTTCATTGATCTATAAATATATATTTATTTATATATTTATATACACACCGTTGAAGCAAATATATAGATCATGGCGTCGCATCAATATCATCAAATCGCAAATTTGCTGGAAAAAGTATGTATAGAATATGCATTAAACAGTAGGTAAGCAACACGTTAATATTTGCATATGTATTTTATGTAGATGACATCTACGGACAAGGACTTTCGATTCATGGCAACAAATGATTTAATGACGGAACTGCAAAAGGACAGTATTATACTGGACGATGAGTCGGAGAAAAAGGTAGTTCGTATGGTGCTTAAGTTACTCGAGGATAAAAACGGTGAAGTGCAGAATTTGGCTGTGAAATGTCTCGGCCCATTGGTCAATAAAGTGAAGGAGAATCAAGTAGAGACAATTGTCGACTCGCTATGTGGCAACATGATGTCCAACGTGGAACAGCTGCGCGATATCTCAAGCATTGGCCTAAAAACTGTCATTGCTGAGTTGCCGCAATCCTCAAATTCGCTGGCCCCCAATGTATGCCAGCGCATAACAGGCAAACTCAGTATCGCCATTGAGAAGGTGAGCACAAATTTTGTAGCATATACATATGAGCTATGGTAAAACAATTCCCTTGCAGGAGGATGTTTCAGTTAAGTTGGAGTCGCTAGACATATTGTCGGACTTGCTTTCACGCTTTGGAGAGTTCCTGGTGCCCTTCCATAGCACCATATTAAAGGCTCTAAATCCACAGCTGGCATCCCCTCGACAAGCTGTACGCAAACGCACAATTGTGGCGCTTTCTGTGCTCTTGGTACAGGCGAATAGCAATGCTTACAATGGAGTGGTCGATCATCTGCTAGAGGGTCTGGAGAATCCACAGAATCCTGGGGCTGTGCGCACATACATACAATGCTTGGCCTCTATTTGGTATTTTTATTGATTATGGATCAAGAAAGCAGTGCAGAATTTTAATATATTTCTTTACCGCTTTACCGCTAGTCGTCAGGCTGGTCATCGCTTGTGCAATCATATTGACCGTTCGATGATCTTGTTGAAGCAATATAGCCAACGGGATGATGATGAGTTGCGTGAGTTTTGTCTTCAAGCCTGTGAGGCATTTGTGCTGCGTTGCCCGGACGCTATTACTCCACATATACCTATGGTGTGTCATGCCACATCTCAGTCAATTGGAATTGATAGCTAATTTTATTTGTTTCGAATTCAGATACTCGAATTGTGCCTGAAGTACGTCACATACGATCCCAACTACAACTATGAGGCCGATGACGGTGACACAGGCGTTGCCATGGACACCGAAGAGGATGAATATGTGGACAGCGAGGAGTACAGCGATGACGACGATATGAGCTGGAAAGTTCGTCGTGCCGCTGCTAAATGTCTTGAAGTTCTGATTGCTACACGTCAGGAACTGCTTGAGGAATTTTATCGTACACTGAGTCCAGCATTGATTGCTCGCTTTAAGGAGCGCGAAGAGAATGTTAAATCTGATATATTTCATGCATACGTTGCACTGCTGCGTAACACACGTCCTGCAGACGATATGGCCCATGATCCGGACTCCATGGATCAGGTATCTGGACCGACTCTGCTGCTAATCGAGCAGCTGCCGCAGATCATCAAAGCAATCCAGCCGCTAATGCGAGAGAAGTCGATGAAAACACGTCAGGATTGTTTCCTCTTACTGCGCGAGCTATTGAATAGCCTGCCAGGCGCCCTTGGCCCCCATTTGGACAGCATCGTGCCGGGCATTAGCTATTCGCTGAACGACAAAGGCTCCACGAGCAACATGAAAATCGAGTCTCTGGGCTTTCTTTGCTCTTTGCTGCAGGGTCATCAGCCACATGTTTTTCATCCGCATATTCCATTGCTGGTGCCCCTGGTGGTAACGTCGGTGTTCGACCCGTTCTACAAGATTGCCACAGAGGCGTTGTTGGTGCTGCAGCAGCTAGTCAAGGTGGTTCGTCCTTTGGGCGCCAATGCAGTCAAGTCTGACTTCGATGTTACTCCTTTTGTGGGTCAGGTGTATGCATGTACCCTGCAGAAACTGAAGGTCACCGATGTCGATCAGGAGGTGAAGGAGCGCGCCATCGCCTGCATGGGTCAAATCATTGCCAATATGGGTGATTTGCTGCAGAGTGAACTGGATGTTTGTCTGCCCATATTTATGGAACGTTTAAAGAACGAAGTCACAAGATTAAGCAGCGTGAAGGCTCTGACCATGATTGCAGCTTCTCCGCTGCGCATTGACCTCTCGCCCATCCTTCACGAAGTCCTGCCCACCCTGGGCACCTTCCTGCGCAAGAATCATCGTGCCTTGAAGTTGCACTCCTTGGATCTTATTAATAAGATCGTCATCAACTACTCGTCGAACTTTGAGCCAAGTGTTCTGCAGTCTGCTATTGTCGAAATACCGGGATTGATCTCTGACTCGGATCTTCATGTGGCTCAATACTCGCTCACTCTTTTGAGTACAACGGCTCGTCGCCAGCCGCAAGCCTTGGTTGGCATACACGAGAAGTTCTTGCCGTCGGTGTTGATTCTAGTGCGCTCGCCCTTGTTGCAGGTGAGTCAGTAGCTCTATATATATCATGCGAGTCGGAATAGTAATTGTAATCGCTTTCAGGGCACTGCATTACAATGCACTTTGGATCTATTCCAAGCTCTTGTGCAGGCACAACTCACTGGCTTAGACTATCATTCGCTGGTGTCTAAGCTAATGGAGCCCGTCCTGAAGGGCAGCGATCCCTCAGCCAGGAATCCCAATGAGCAGCTGCAGCTGCACAAGCAGGCATATCATTCATCGGCCAAGTGCATTGCGGCCCTGACACAGCAGTGCCCACAGGTGGCGACTCCATTGGCCACCCAATTGATGTCTGAGCTACAGAAGCGTAGCAACAAGGATACCCAGATCATATTCTGCCTGCTGACAATCGGCGAAATCGGCCGACATTTCGATTTGAGCTCCATTCAAGTGCTGCCACAGACAATCATTGAATGCTTCGGAGCCACATCCGAGGATGTGAAAGCGGCAGCTTCGCATGCTCTGGGCGCCGTCTCTGTGGGCAGCCTGCAAACATATTTGCCGCTCATTTTGAAGGAGATCGAGGCTCAGCCCAAGCGACAATATTTATTGCTCCACTCATTGAAGGAGGTGATTTCATCGCTCTCTGTTACACCCAACGGTCTAGCGCAGCTGCTCCCATCGGTGCCGTCGATATGGGCGCAATTGTTCAAGCATTGCGAGTGCTCAGAGGAAGGTTCACGCAACGTGGTAGCCGAGTGCTTGGGAAAGCTTGTGCTTGTCAATCCAGAGGAGTTGTTGCCTCAATTACAGCAAGCTCTCCGTTCTGAAAGTGCTACTATGCGCACCGTTGTCGTATCCTCCGTTAAATTCACCATATCCGACCAGCCGCAGCCAATTGACATTCTGCTAAAGCAGAGCATTGGTGAATTTCTCTTCGCACTTCGCGATCCGGATCCGCAAGTACGTCGCGTCGCTCTGGTCGCTTTCAATTCGGCTGTGCACAATAAGCCGAGCTTGGTTCGCGATTTGCTGCCCACACTTTTGCCTTGGCTGTATTCTGAGACAAAGGTCAAGAGCGAGCTCATACGTGAAGTCGAAATGGGCCCGTTTAAACACACTGTTGATGATGGATTAGATATACGAAAAGCAGCATTCGAATGCATGTACACTTTGCTCGAACAGGGATTGGACCGTGTGGACGTTATGCAGTTCATGGATCACGTTCAGGCTGGCCTAAGTGATCATTATGATATTAAAATGTTGACGTACCTCATGACAGCGCGTCTGGCCGTTTTGTGCCCCGATAAGGTTTTGTTGCGTATGTGATCGATCTTTTAGTGCTTTTCAAAAGAATCTCTGCTAAATATAATTTCTTTAAATAGGTCTGGATCAATTTGTGCAACAGCTACGCGACACTTGCACCCACAAGGTAAAGGCCAATTCGGTGAAGCAAGAGTACGAGAAACAAGACGAACTCAAGCGCTCCGCTCTACGAGCGGTATCTGCGCTCTCACAAATACCCAAAGCAAGTGAGTATTATCTAAAATATGGGATATCTTCAAATACATTTCAATTAATTCTTAAAATCTGCTTGCAGACAAAAACCAGCAGTTACTAGACTTTTTAAAGTCAATTAAGGAGACTCCGGAACTGTGTAAAATCTATGATTATGTGCAGAAGGATTCCATTACTGGCAATTCAGACATTGCCATGGACCAGACTTAAATATTGTGTTTTGATAGCGCGAGCTGTTCTATGAATATTATAATTTTATTGATAAATAATGTAATAAGCATGTGTGAACACAAAATTGTATCGTCTATATCTGATACAGCCATTAGTTTTTTTTAACTAAGCAATAAACCGATTTGTAATACTGCTCCAAATGATTTGAAATATATATACTCTATTATAATACAGGATATATATTCCAACATTTACATAGGCGCGCAGTATAAAATGAATCAGCATTTAAATAAAATTTTTCATGAAAAATGGATTTTGAAATTTGTATTTTAAAGATTTCTTGTTAACAAATTACAATTTCTAATTTAAATTTTCTATGAAAAGTATCAAACGGAAGTTAAAGTTAGTTCTATTGTTTTCTAGACTCTTCTGATGTTCAATTATTTATCTATATTTACATTATTATAACTAAATTGTTGTTTATCGAAAGCAGCAACATATTTAAATGATCGTTAATTTAGAAATTTGAAAGGCAACTGAATTCCTGAATATTCTAAGAATTTTTAATGTGATCTATCCAATGAGTTACAATTCAAAAATTCAGATTTTCTTCGGAATTTCAAAAATTCTGTAAATTAGCCCGACTGTTGTTTGGATCTCTTCTTCTCTGTATTTGTTTCGGAGATTAGCTTGCCTGTTGCTGGTCCGCCATCAGATGTTGGCCCACTGTCTGAAACCGTCTCTGGTGGATGCTCAAGCACATGATCAATTATGCCTAGGGTCTTGGCCTCTTCTGGGGTCATGAAATGGTCACGCTCCATACGCGAACACATCTCGTCATAGGAATTTTTCGCATGCTTCACATATATATTCGTTAGTTGACGCTTTATCTTGATGATCTCCTCCGCATGTATAAGTATGTCCGTGGCTTGACCCTGAAAAACAATTAACAGATTTAATCACTACACCTAAAAGCTAGTCGACTTTACCTGAGCTCCTCCGGACGGCTGATGTATCATGATGCGTGCATTCGGCAAGGAGTAACGCATGCCAGGTGCTCCAGCTGCCAGAAGTAGGGAGCCCATTGAACAAGCCTGGCCCACACACCACGTCGCTATTGGCGGCTTCACATACTGCATCGTATCATAGATTGCAAGACCTGCCGTAACCACGCCACCGGGTGAATTGATATACAAATGAATGGGCTTGTTGACATTTTCTGACTGCAGAAAAAGTAGCTGAGCAACGACCGTAGAGCTGATATCATCTGTAATGTTGCCCATAAGACAGATGATACGCTCCTTCAAGAGACGAGAGAATATATCATATGCCCGCTCTCCTCTGCCCGTCTGTTCAACAACCATGGGTATTAAATTTATACCCCTCACATGCTGCGCGGTCGTATTGCACTGCCTCTGAATCAACGTGGGGGTAAATTAACAATTATTTATGTTTCAGTTGTAGCAGATTTCACTTACGTGTAAACCACGAAATAATCGACTGCCGGCGTTCCTGAACATAATTCCCTCGCTGGTGTTGTTTCTTTTTTTTTTTTATCAAACTGAATCGCAAAATCCGCAAAACAGCTGGTTTTATGAGGTTGAGATGTGTCGCTCCCTAGGCAGTAAAAATCATAGCTTAAACAAATAATTTATAACACAGACTGCTCAGTTATAAGATATTTCGTAAGCAATAAAGGAAAAACAAAAAAAAATCAAAAGAAATTACATATACGTATGTGATGGCACTTACAAAAAACACTCACTCCAATCGTAATCGATAGTAAATATCGATAGCAAAGAACAGCTGATATGCAAATTTGAAGAAATACAGTTTTGAAATATCTATTTGAATAAAATAAGTAATTGAGTATAAATTGTTTACATGTTTGGGCAGGGCTTGACTTAACTTTAATTTATCATTTTTTAATTAAATTTGAAATTTTTTTAAAAGTTCGGAAGACAGAAGGTTTGCTATGCTCTGCTAGCTGGGCCACTACTGTATGCTGACTGCCGACATACGACATAATATATGTACTCAATGTACATATTAACATAACAACACTGCTTGAAAGAAAAGAATTTATTTTTATATGTATGTGTTGCCAGCAATTCCAATTGTTAAAATATCGGCAATGTATTTTTGATATGTTGCAAAATTGGTCCTAAAATTGCTACAAATACAATGTGGCAATCAGTACTAATATATTTTCCACCACTGTGACCGCTGAAGCGCGCCACATTAACTTTTTTTGCTACTTGTTTGTTTGTTTGGCTTGATATATGGGCGTTTGTGTGCGGCTTTGCACATATGCCACGTAAATGTTGCAATTGTATTGAACTAGAATTCACGCAGCCAAGATCAAGGTAATTGCATCTTACCAACTGCTACTCTAGTTTCATTCTGCAATTTACTTTTAAACCGATTGGATGTGGTTTAAAGCGCTCTTCAAATATTTCCAAATCAGTTTTCGTTTTTTGTTTGTTTAATAAAAATGTTATACCACCTCATAAGAATTATGATATTAATGGTAGGTACGCTTGTGCGCTATTAATACAAGGATTATATTGGCATAATGTTGATTAACTTAATGACTTTGAGTCTACAACAAATATTCAAGTGCTCCTCTTCAGATTAAATAGTTTTTAAGTTGGACTGTAGTCTTTCTTAATAACCCTTTCAATAACCTCCTTTGTCCCAGGTTGTTCCATGCTTCTGCACTGCCCAGGATTATGAAGGTAAGTTGAATAAATCGCATAATATAATAATTACATTCATTTCATTGAACAGTCGCTGATGTTCAATGTACATTTTCCAACTCGGGCTCGAAAAGTGAGGATCTGATAACGGCCACGCTGAAGAGGCCAGCTGGATTTAAGGGCGTGCCCATGTTTGCGGATGATCGAAGTGGCCTCAAGGACTTGAATCCGCATTGTCTGATCTCAAAGGATATTACCGATATGGACGAGCGAACATATCAATTAAGAATCAACGACTTTACGCAATGTGGCGTGCTCAAAAGAAACGTATGTAGATTTTTGATTGATTGAAATGAGTATATTGGCTTTGTGTAATGTCCATATCGCCGTCTGTCCCTCTTTATAAATTTCATCGTAAATAGACCAAATAAATCGTAAATATTTATGCGGCTGCCGCCTCAACTTGTAGTGTTTAGATATTTTATCTATAACAACTTTCTAGTTAGAAACTGAGCAAGCGAAAAAGTTGCAGTGGGCATTTCCGACTGCAGAATACTCATGCACGGCTCATAACACTTTCAGATCCATTTTTCGATTTTCCACGCAATATCTATATATGTATATATATGCGTATATTCTTTTTATGAAAATCAATAGAGAGTTCTGGCTTTAAATATGTAGAAAATACAGTTAGCCACCCCTTAATGGGAGTAGATATTTCCGTCATTTCTTTTTATTCTTTTTCTGTCAGCCCCAGTGTATATTACACATTTTAGGTCTCTAGCATTAATATGTTCAATATACATGTATAAGGGTTTGTATGAAATTTTGGATCGATCTTTATAGAATCTTAAGAGTCATTCAGGGGTGTTCTAGCTCTAAAACAGTGAACAGCGAATGAGTATTCCCACTGATGGCTGGATTACTGCTAAGCCCATATCAAGTTATTGAAGAATCCTTCGTCTACTCTATAAATTGAATATAATTCTCATTTGCAGGGCTTCGTTCACGTTCGCATTTGGTTTCCACAATTTCCTGGCGTTGTGATGCAATCGGACCAGGAGCTAATCATTATGTGCAAGCCGCCAGAGCCAACAGTAATAGAGAATAAGGCGGCTGGCTTCGCGGGCTCGTTGTATGCAGAGCTTTGGCAGAATCTTTGTTATTGGTATTTATATTTATATATCTATATTTCCTTGCAGTCCACATGGCGCACGTGTGTCGGGCATAGTTGAGGAGATGCCGAATCGATTGGAGTATGAGGTCGCGCTGTATAAGGAGGCGCCGCCCATAGCACGTGTCAGCGGCACGAACAACCCAGTCAGCTCCTCGAATGACCCGGCCTCTCTGCTGGCTGACAACGATCAGGCCGTGGATCAGGCCGTGCCCCTGGGCACCAAGCTGCAGCTGCGAGCACGCATCAGCCAGTCGGTGTGGAAGTATGTGAAGCTGATGGAGGTGACTGTGTCGCCAGATCCGGGTAAGTGGCAGGTGTCTTTAGGTGTGCATGGTTCCTCTATTGTCGCATTATCAATCAGAGAATCCACTTGCCACGGGCTCTGTTTCTCTGGTGCACAACGGTTGCCGCAATCGGGAGCTGGCCACAATTATTCCCCATCAGCCGGCCAAATATCGGGATCGACCCAACGAGGTGTTTCTCGACTTTGAGGCCTTTTTGCTCAGCTCGATGAAGGAGAAGGCCACTCTCTGGATACACTCGCAGATCAAGGCCTGCATCGACATGGCCGACTGCACGCCCGACTTCTGCGTGGATCTCTACGAACCCTCGGGCCACGGCCGCAAGCGACGACAGATTGAATCGGCAACGGAATCTACAGCAAATACAACTACAGTGAACGGTCCCATGATGCAACGAGCTGGGAATTCCACTGCTGCCTCGGAGTTCAAGCGCTTCAAAGAGAACATCGAGTACACCGTTATAATGCCCGGGCAGGTGAACAAAAAGGTGGGCCTCCTAATCGATTTGACGTCGCAGTGTCGCGGCGCCCTGCTCATTAGCTCGTTTTTTGTATTCATGATTACGCTTTGCTGCTCGATTGTAAGTGCAATTAGAACCGGCCCATGCTGTTATATAACTCGCTAATAATAATAATTCCTCTACCTTCAGAGCTGTTTGATAGCATTGCGCGTGCACAACGAGAAAAAACTAAGACATCGCCAGTTCACCTCCGGGTTCAACACAGGTTATGCAGGTCGAGCTACGGTTCAATAAACGAAACGGGAAATACTTCAGCAGCTAAAAAAGAAATCAAAATAAATAGCCGAAAGAGCTCAGCATTTAGCATTGGTCTTCGAGCTATGTATATCATATGCATTTATCAAGTGTACCTTTACTTTATATAGAGAATAAAGAAATTAGATGAAATGAATTCAGCAAAAATCTTTTACAAACTTTAGTTTTGAAACATACATCTACATCTTGATGACCTCTAGACTTATTTTCAGCATATATTGTAGTAGAAGCATTAAATTAATTTTTAACTGAATTCAAGCTATAATAGATTTATATATATCACCTGGACTTGCCTATGGGCTCTGTTTTAGATATATTTCCTCAGGTTTAGGGAGTGTAAATTATTTGCAAAATTTTCATTGATTGGTTTTATACATATTGATGGCATATATACTAGTATTCGTGAACAGAGAAACTGTTTCGTTTAACGACATTAATTTGTTTTTCTTATATGATTTTATTTTGATTAAAACTTGGCTTGTTGTGCTTGTAGCTGCCAATTTATTGGCATTTGTTGAACTTGACTTGGTGCAAAACAATTATTTATTTATTTAATGCCTTATTAAGCGTTATCTGCCGCGCGATATCCGAGCACAGAGGTCAGGCCACTGGTAAATGGCCAACAATAAAACTGTCAAGTTGTCAGAGGCGGGCCAACTAAGCTGCAAATGTCAAAGGCAAAGCCCTGGCCAAAAAGCTACTTTAATTGATTCGCAGGACTTGCAAAGTCCTGTTGCTGGCAGCAGCAGCAGCAGCAGCCTCCTTCTGATTGTATTCGGTAAACACAGCTTGTCATTATATAATCTATGTGCACACATATATACGCAAATACAATAGCTTATAGTCGTATGATATCGGCTCGCGTGCTCATACATCGCGCATACGATAGTCGCTGCCAGCTGCATAAATCATGCATAATTTATATACGTCGCGACGTCGGGCTAGCTTGTTGCCGAGCTGAATTATGTTTCCTGCATCTTAAATAAATAATATTAATCAATTATCAGTATTATATTTTACTCTTCGAGCATTCATAAATATTAAATGCCACTTTCGACTCCACCTCCAATAGATAAAGTTGGAAAATCGTAGAAGAGGCGTCTATGTATGTATGTAGGTATGTATATATTATATGAATGAATGTATGTATGTCTTTTGTATATATGCACGTCTTTTCTCTGTCTATATCCAATTGCTATGTATATAACTGTAAAATAAAATATGGTCGCTCTCTACCAGGTCACGGCCAAATATTCTTGAATGCCGACTTTGTATACGAAGGACCGAATTTACCTATTGCAACTCTTTAGATTTGACAGGGTTCTAGATAGGTTCGTCAAATATGGATAGATCAGCAGCGGAGTCGATCTTGTTTCATAGATCAACAACTAAACCGATTTTATATTTTGGATGCCGATATAGACCAAACTTAGGTATATCCGTGTGTGTATGTGTGTGCATGCGTTAATTCTTATATATGCCGAAAAGAAAGGGTATCAATTGTTGGAATATCCGCTTTTTGCTAAAAGTGCTCAGTCGCTGAAACAATTTTGGATTACCATTTAGTTCCTAAAGCGCATATATATAGCTACTTTCTATTAGTTTTCCTTCTCTTTTCCCATCTGTCAATCTACATATTTTCCCTTACCCCCGCTGCGGAATCAAACTTTTGCAAATAGTTAACAGCCGCAGGGAAAGGCCTGTATTCACTTAATTATGTTTTGGCGTGGGTTAACAGGGCGTATGATTAATGCAGTCCTCGCCAAAGTCGGGACAGTGAAAATCAATTAATTAGGCGCGGGATAAAAAGAACAAAGCACACGTGTTCTCATGAATGAATCAAGGAACAACGCGAACGAATGAACGAATCAACGAATGAATGAACGAATGAATGAGTGTAATGACTCTTTCATTAGGCATTCGAGCGTGAATAAAGCATTAACTACCCAGACAGTCAAGCGGGCAAACGAGCAATTGGGGAGGTGGGCAGGTGTGCCGGTTGGCAAGTGGGTAGGCAGGTGGTATGAACAAACTGCCTGATAGTCCTTGTGCTCGCTGGGAATCAAAAGTGAGCCAGCTGCATAAATTTCCATTTAGACAAATGTGACAAACGGAAATTGCAATCGACGCTGCGCCACGCTCTCAACAGAATTTCAGCTTCCTCTGCAGCAGCGGCTGCAGCAAAGGTATTCGCCAAGGACTTGCTCCTGCTGTTGCTGCTCTTGCTCATCTTATTGGCATTTCAGTGGAGTGTCTTTAATAAATGATGAGCACGTTGAAGCATATTGAAATTTAATTCATAACGTAGCAAGCGGATGACGATGAATTATGTGCGATACACATCGGAGTTGCTGTGCATGGTGGCCCATGTTTTCTCTGTACGTGTGTGTGGGTGTGTGTGTGTAGGGACGAGACCTTATTGCATGCTGATTTAATTATAAACCAACGCGAGATAAACATAATTTTATTGCCTAGACTGAAGCGAAGACTGCCACAAGTTCATTCAGGCCTCGAATCAGTCTGAATATGAGAATTATGTGGAATCGAATTATTTGATGAGCTCTTTACTTTTGGGAAACTGCTAACTTATGTATATATATGTCACAGGCAAATATTTCGCTGTAATAGATATGTAAAATTCAAATTACCCTGATTAAATTGATATACGGAGTCCGTATTACATACATAAATGATATATTTACCTGATACAAGGCTCAATAAGGTATTTAGCAAAATTGTTTAACTTGTCCTTAGAAACTTCTGTGTTCCCTTGAATTTGGAAAGCATCTTTTATCATTCCCTTTTATAAGAAAGGTGGAAGATCTGATATTTCCAATTATAGAGGCATTGCGAAATTGTCTGCTATTCCGAAGTTATTTGAGAAAATTATAATATCGGCATTTTTGCAAATCGATTATTCAAACATCTCAACATCTTCTAATTTACTTGAATTTACTTCGCTTGTTAATGACAGCTTTTCTAAAAAAAAAGCAAACTAATGTTATTTATACTAACTTCAGTAAAGCATTTGACTCAGTACATCATCACATACTAATTCTAAAGCTTAAACGCTTAGGATTTTCATTAGACTTGTGTCTTGGATTTCATTTTATTTAATGGGTAGAACCCAAAGAGTCTTGCTRAGAACAGCTATKTCTAAASWKATCTTKGTWTCRTCTGGTGTACCTCAGGGTAGCCATTTGGGTCCATTGCTCTTTTCCCTTTTTATACCCTGAACCCATTGAAAATGGGTAATCAGGGTATAATGGTTTTGTTGAAATATATGTAACAGGCAGAAGGAATCATCGCAGACCCCATAAAGTATATATATTCTTGATCAGGACGACGAGCTGAGTCGATATAGCCCTGTCCGTGCGTCCGTTTGTCCGCCCGTATGAGTGCGCCGAGAGCTAAAATTTGGCCTGCATTCTCGTGTATACAAGTTTATCTTATTTTTTTCGATAACTCATCCGATAATAATCGAAAAATAGATTTTTTAGCCTAATTTGAACATTTTTAGACCTGTAGACTTCATATTTACTGTGTATATACATTTGATGAATACAAAGATTTTGTAATTTACAGATTTGGGATACAACGCTCCCTTCGTCACCAACTTGTAATAAGCGTATATCAAGTAGTAGAGATTTGAGAGCTTTGTACAACCATATGATCACGCTGTGAAAGTTTCATAAAGATAGTCCTACTATAAGAGAAAAAATATTCAGATAATAAATTCTCATAATATTGCCCACACCGCAGTGCAGCAGAGCGCGTGGTATACGTGCGTGTGTATGTATGTGTGCATAGAAGAAGTGCAGAATGATTAGAATATCAGCTTGGAGGGTCCAGGGTATCTCCTAGTCGAGCAGTTTCGACTGGAACCTTCCTATTTGTTTCAGTTCATGTATGGATTTCTGCTGTTAAGTGACGCTGAGTAACTATTTTATAGTAGACATTTGGAAAATAGAAAAAGAAAATGTCAGTTTACAAATCAAGAACTAGAAAGTCTATGATAGGGTTTTTTGTACACCAGTTTATAATTTCCAAAATTCTATTTTCTATCTTTACTCTTTATATCTTTAAAGGTGGATTGTGCACTTGGGATCCAGTGAAATATGGATACCAGTGGTACATATAAGAGGCGTGGCTCATATTTTGACGATGAGGACCTCGAATTAACGCCAGAGCAAGAGCGTCGCCGTCGCATTCGGCGTTATATAGCCTTAATCATAAAGATGGTCATATTTCTCACCATGTGGATATTCTTTGTAGTTAATATGTGTATTACGTCAAGAACGGGTGTGCAGGAGAGAGTTGTAGCCTTAGAGCAGAAATCAATAAAGTATTTGGATGTCACGGGAAAGCTAAAAAACAATAATATAAAGGTTATGTTGAATGGAAATTTCGATAAGGAGGTCACCAATTATCCACGCCTGGCAGCAGATTCCCAAAAATATTTATCAATCAGAGTGCAAATTTACAATATTAATTTGAACCGGACGGAACAGTTGTCGGAAAAATGGATCGTCTATTTGACGAAATATGCCCAGCCACGTTCGCATTTAGCTAATGTGCAAAAATTTTTTAAGTTGACACCTCAATACCCAGATGCCCCAGATATCGCGGCGTTATCCGCAGGCGACCAATATCGAATTCAGATAATATTAAAGAATCCCATCAATGATATATTTGCACTCAAAATCAGAACTAATGTCAGTCCGGTGGAGTTGGTGTACGGCGTAGTCGCAGCAGGTATATTGCTTTGCTCTCTGTATGCAGTTATCATCATGGATATTACGGATCCCACGTTTGCCGCCGTCCTCATATCATCGTGCGCGATTGGAGTGCTGTGTATGTTCGATGAGCTGCCATCGTTGAGCAAAATAGTGTCATGGATCGATATTCACACGCTGGTGCTGCTTTTTTGCATGATGATAATAGTGAGCATTTTATCGGAGACCGGCGTCTTTGGCTACCTCGCGGTGCTGGCCTATCGCCTGTCCAAGGGTCGTGCCTGGCTGCTCGTGGGCCTCCTCTGCCTGATCAGCGTAGTACTGGCCGGATTCCTGGAGCTGGTCACCATACTGATGATTATGGTGCCAGTTGTGATCCGACTGTGCGAGTGCATGAGCCTGCGCACCACCACCGTGCTGATCTGTGTGGCGATCTTCTCGAACATTGGCTGCGCATTGACGCCCATTGGGGACCCAGCAACTGTTCTCATTGCGACGAACGCCCATGTCATGAGCAAGGGCGTCGACTTCAGCACGTTTATCATTCACATGTTCCCGGGCGTGGTGCTGAGCATTTTCGCTGCTTGGGCGTACATTTACCTGTTGCTGCGTACGAGTCTGACCCATGGTGCCGAGGAGCAGACGAATAACTCACTGAGAATCCTAGCCAAGCGAATGGGCGAGGGACGAGCTCCACCAATGTCCATGCACATGGCAAATCCAAAGTTCAATTCGAAAAAGTATTCAGAAACAACGGTTTTTCGAATCATGGCTGCCTCTAACTACATTGAAACGCTCGCCATGATGGAGTCCAAGTACAAGGTGCAGGAYAAGCCGTTACTAATCAAGTGCGCTGTTTCCTTCTCATTTGCCATAGTGCTGTGGTTGCTGCACTCGCTGCCCTTTTTTGCGGGCGCCACACTGGCCTGGACCGCTCTGATGGCCTCGATGCTGCTGCTGATACTCTACGATTCGCAGGACCTTACCGCCGTGTTCATGCGGCTCGACTGGTCCATGCTGTTGTTCTTCAGCGCACTGTTCGTGCTCATTGAGGCTTGCGCGGAGCTGGGCCTGATCCATTGGCTGGCTGAGCTAACGATCAACATAATCGCGAATGTGGATCCGCAATATCAGGTCGTTACATCCATTATGGTTGTCCTGTGGATGAGCACGACCTTCGCGGCTTTCATCGAGAACGTTCCAATTGCCACAATGCTGCTCAGGCTCACCATCCAAGTGGCCCTCAGTGAGCGGATCAATATACCCTTTCTACCAATGGTATGGGCTCTCACCTATGCGATATGCTTCGCCGGCAACGGCAGCTTGTATTCGACCACGGCAAATGTGGCCGCCTCTAGCATTGCCAACCAGCATGGCTATAAGATCACCTTTTATGAGTTCTTCAAGTATGGCTTCCCTGTCATGATAATCACGAATAGCATTGCTTCAGTTTATCTGCTCATCGCCCACGGAATTTTCCATTGGCACTAGGCTGAGGTCCATCTCTGTCTTCGTCCGTCAGAAACTTGCCATGGCCCAACATTTCTTCATAATTTTCGTTTAGCCAGTAAACTTTTCAATGACAAAATGAAATGTCCCCGCAGCGTTGTGGGAAGGCAGGCGTAGAAGTGGCCCAAGGAAAGCTCGCTGATAAATAATATTATAATTGGATGTTTATTAATACATAGTTAACGAATTTGAGCAGCCGTGACGTTCAGCAACTTAAATGTGCATCTATTGGACATCGACGTCTTGTCCCTTACCCTCGCTCAGGTGCGTGGGCAGCAAGCGGAAGCTGTCATCAATGAGAGGCATCAGTGGGTCTGAGGCCAGTGGCCATGAGAACTTGTGCTCCTATTCATGTCAAATGGTTGTCTCTCAAGCAACGTGAATTGTGTTGCATCGATCGATGGACAATACCCATCAAAAACGGACGGACAAGCAGACGAACGGGCGCCTTACAAAATCGATAATTTATAAATATAAATAGCATAAATAAAAAGCTGGCGTTATAAAGTGCGAAGGCTTATAAGATCCATGCGTCTTATGTATATGGCAAATAGAAACATAGGTTTTTTTTTTCAATTTAAAAAAGTTCTTAATACATTTATTTTATTTAATTTTGCAACAATTTTATGCACTGCATTGAGGGCTGTTTCAAACCCCTTATCAAAATTCAGTTATAAAATGAAATTCTTTGATGCAATTTTCATAAAATACTTGGTATACCCTGAACCCATTGAAAACGGGAAATCAGGGAATAATGGTTTTGCGAAAAGTATGCAGACAGAAGGATGAGTCGAGTTAGCCCTCTTTTTATACCCTGAACCCATTTTCAATGGGAAATCAGGGTATAATGGGTTTGTTGAAATGTAAGTCACAGGCAGAAGGAGGCGTGGCAGACCCCACAAAGTATATATATTCTTGATCAGGGTGACGACCTGAGTCGATTTGGTCTGTCCGTCCGTATGTATGAACGTGTCGATTTCAGAAGATATAAGAGCTAGAGACTTCAATTTTTTTTTAAATGTCCGTATTTACAGCGCGGATATCGAGTTTATCATTAAAAATCGATAACTCATCCCGATCTTTTTTTATCGATAAAAAACCTTATCGAAAACCAGTTATAAAATTATATCTTCTACACCTTTATTGCTAGAGTCTCCAAATTTTTAATGTATGCTTATATGCAATTTATACAATTTCGGTTTTTGTTAAAATTTACCCCCCACCCTTAAATTCACCCCCTCACCCTCACTTTTGTAAAAAGCGTATTTCAAATACTAGAGACTTGTGCTTTGGCAATTACATGCATATCCATGTTATAATCATAATCTGAAAGTTTCATGAAGATCGTACGTCCATAAAAAAAGTTATTAAACAATTAAGTTCTCATAGTAAGCGCACACTGCAGCCCATGCGTGTTTATGCGTGGGTGCTTGTGTGTGTATGTGTTTGTGTATGTGTGTGTGTATGTGTATGTGTGTGTGTATGCGTTTGTGTATGTATGCGTGTGTGTGTGTGT